TCCCTTTGCCCAAGTCCCAACGCGCTCTTCATCCCACCCCAATTGAACACGGGGCGTTTGGGTTGTCTATCACATTTCCGTGCCCAGACTTGCTGTCGGCTTTGGGTTCGGATGTTGACTTTGTGGTCCCAAAATGTCCCCCTAAACTTTGGCCAGACTTCGAATCTCCGCAAAAAAAGGAAAAGGTGGGAAAAGGAAGGGTAACCATTCGGGCAGCGGGCAAGCTCAAGAGCCCAAAGTTCCAAGTAATTACACCTCCGATAAAAGGAGCACCCGTCAATTTGAAGGATCTAACGACAGACTTCGGAAAAGATCACCAACACGAGACGTCTCCCGTTTTACTTTCCAGGCTATAGTTTGTTAACACGGGGTTGATCACACCTCCTGGCTTGGAAAGGGACCCATCAGATTATTTTCATGAGGGGCGGGCGCATGCCTGCGCATCATCCTCTGACTGAATTTTGTTGTGAAAACGCCGCCATTCCCCAGCCAGAGTTGGCACGTGTGGACATGATCGGCCTAACTCGAACATCAGTGAACATGACACCAGCTGCCATTTGTGACGAACACAGATTGAACCAATGACATGGGATGCTCCACCAAGAAACCAAGAATGCCCCCCCCCTCAGAAACAAAAAGCAAAAACAACAACACAGAACAGGGATGAATGATCTTGAAACAAACGGAGAGGACATGTGCAAAGTACTCAAGCGTACGGTTTTTTGCCGTGTGTTCGAACGCCGTCGCAGGCCAACTTGCTTCCAACCTAAAAAACTAAACGCCTAAAGGGCCATCTTGGATTCAAAACTGGGCCCGTGCGCTCTAAAAGTTAGTTTCACTTCTAGTGGGCTAAATTTGGAACCTACCGCTACGCCAATCAAACAACATCGAACCACCGTTGAACCGGATGGCCGGGAACCAGCAAAGTCAATGAGTTGGGGCTGGAGCTGGAAGTGCGCAGGATCCCCTGGCACCGCTTAACTGGGTCCTCCAGTAGAGAGCTTAGAAGAAGGGTACCAACTTTTTTCCGTAGTCTATTTTGGTAGGGGAACTCCCCTAAAGAAGGGGTGAGAAAGGACTCTACTGGAAAACCTAGTTAGCCTTCTGGAGTAAAGACTGACAGGCGCGGGGTGCAAAGGCGCCTGCAATCGGCTGTTCGACACAGCTGTTCGACACCTCGGCTTCGGAGGTGGCGCCAGGTTCTTCAACCCGACGTGTAGGTACATACCCCGTATTGAAAAAAACAACGCAAAAAGCTTCCTGCAACTTGCAAATCTCTGAAACAAGCACCTCTTTCTTTGGTTTAGCGCATGGGGATAATCAGAGAGGTATCTCCGTCTGACCTGCGAAAAGTGATTGGCTCACCTTTTGCCAGTAAATAATTCAAAAGATTTTTAGACTTCCGAGCTGGGCGCTAGTGGGAGGCCCAACTCGGCTCCAGCTCGGTAGAGAAAAGCGGAGAGCGCAACAACCGTCGCCGCCGGGATTTCAAGTACCTCAAAGTAGAATCCCCAGTTGACGACCCTCCACAACTTACATCCCCTTTAAAAAGACAAAACCCAAACTTAAAACCAGGAAAGAATGCAATATCGGAAGCGAATGGACGCCGCGCAAAAGTTTGAAAGGAACTTTGTCAGCACTTTGGTTTGCTGAGACCCTTTCTGGGGGTTCGTGGCGGGTGTTTCTCGTGAATTCGGGCAAGGTCATATACCCGAATTCAGGCGCCAGGAAAGCAAAAATCCATTTAGACCGACTCTGCAAGTCTGTTCCGGGCTTGCTTGCTCATGAAGCTAAACATGATTCAGATTTTACAATGTCCACAACCTGAACAAAGGAGGGATCCCCAAGTAGACCTACAAATCATGGTAAGCTCGGCTCACCTGTAGGTTTGGCAGCACGCAAGCGGTGGCAACTCCATTTCTTTGGCATGCATGTCGTCACTTCCATTTATCGTGGTGGACCCTCAAAGCCCTCCAAGTAGACCTTTGTTGAGTGGGCGAATGCTTGAGGATGTAACACCTACCAGGTATGCTCCACAAAGCTGGCTGACGGAAGCTTCTAGAAGAACATTTTGCTTCCAGGAAAAGAACCTGCCTCGCGACATCCAGAAGGCTGCGCGCAGAGCAACTTGCACTCAGCAACTCGTGCAAGGCAACTTGCACAAACAAAGCAACTGGCACAGCGCAACCTGCACAAAGCAACTTGCAAAAAGCACGTCGCACGGAGCAGCGCGTGCTGCTTCTGTACTTAACAGCTGCGACTTTCGACCAAAGAGTGGCGCTTCGCGTGCCACAGCGCCACAGCGCGAGCGCCCCGTCGACACACCGCGGCGAGACCGCAGCGAACCCGCACGCAAAACAGAGGTAGCTTCAGCGATCTGGCCAGCCTGCAGTATGCTGCGCCTGCCAGAGAGTTCCTCTCCTCTCTATCTCCATCTTTGTACTTCTGGCTTACTTTCTCACTTTCTTTGCGTGACTCCTTTGACTCTTGCAATCTTTTCCGCATTCAACGTTTTGCATCGCGGAAGTCTTGCAACTAAACCTCCTTTGGCTAAGTTCCACATGGGGCTCCGGGGGTGTTGGATGTTGGATATGCTGGGCCCGGCGGCTAAATTCACGGTTGCTCGCACTGTGCTTCGTCCGGCCTTGAGCTCAGCCCCTTGAAGATCTCATCGGACTTGGAGGTTGAGGCTACCCTTTTCAGGTTGAAGGGAAACGCCGCCCGTTTTCAGATCCCCTGCTCAAAGTTTAACCTTTGGGTTAAATGGATACCGCTCAACCAACTAAAAGCCTAAGCTAAAGGGACGGCTGGGGGCCGAGGAAACAAAGCTGAACACAACGATCTTTTTGTTGGGGACCTCCGACTCCTAGTTCGATGTTGTCGAGCATGGGACTCTGATAACCCTGCCTTTCCTTTCCCATTCGGAGGATTCTCCCCACGAGTTCCGAAGAATACTCGGTTGCGAAATCTGCGAAGCCCTGCTAAAAGTTTTTAACTTTTAGTGGTTTAGTACCGAAAACCCATCAGTTGGCAAAAAGTTGCTCAGTCCTAACAGCCAAGCAAAATGCACCAAATAATATGGGGAGCGTCAGCTTCGCATCGGGAAACCGAGGGACACGAGCTCGGGAGTTCGGACATCCAGCACTTGCGGCTCGAGAAGGGGGGGCACCTTCGCCGCACGAAAAGACTTTCCAACCATGGACCCAAGGCTGGCTCCTTCTGCCTGCACTCTCCCGATAAAAAAAATGCTTCTTGTCTGACCTTTTGGACAAATAGATGGGTCTCCCTGGTAATTCAATAGAGCATAACAGCAATCTAAGCCGGTGGAACCCATCTATTTCTAACCAAACTGAGCTAAGAACACCTATGCTTCTTGTTCGAACTTTACCCTTGGGTCCAGTCTGCTTCTCGTTCGAACCTTACCCTTGGGTCTCTGGTTGGCCGACGCTTCGCCGGGATATGTTGCAGAGCCACGAAGATACTTCGCCCGACTCTGGATGCAAGGACCCGCTGGCCTGACCCTAAGCTTGGCCGGAAGTTGGGCTTCGCTGGACTGAGATGCTGCTAGGTCCTCCAGCAGAGAGGTTAGAATAAGGGTACCAACTTTGTTCTGTAGTCTATTTTAGTAGCGGAACCCTCCCCCAAAAAAGGGGTTAAAAGCGGACCTGGTTTTGGGTCCCCGTTTTGACTGGGGTGGGTTTAAAGGAACACCAACAGGAGCACGCTACCATATTTGGCGGGTCCCCTATTTCCAGACACTCCGAAAACCTTGATGTCCCTTTCCTGTCCGGGACCTCAAATGGGTGGTCAAGATTAAACCACCAGGATATGGACCGCAGGTTGAACTGTCCATGTTTACATTGGCCGATCGGGCAACAGATTTTGGATACCTATTTTTGACCCACAACCAAATGATGAACAAACCTGCCAAGACGTGACAGCGACTGCAAGGAACTTCAAGGGCTGAACAAACTAGGGGTTACCAGGGGTCCATATATGAACCCCTGGTAACCCCTAGTTTGTGGGTTCATGAACCATTAGTTATGACTTTTTTATGGGAAACCAGACCTGCTTGGGGTCCAAAATGGCGATGGGTTATCTACGGACCTATATAATCAGCCTTTGACCCATGTGTTTCAGACGTGTCTGAAAGAAGCGAAACACCTCTGCCAAGGGCGGATCACGTGCCATCGGGAGCGCAGAAATTTGACTCAAGTTGTGGTGGGTTCCCAATCGGCTCAGGGCAAGCAAACACATACAACTCGGTCGCCCCAGACTGGACCCGGAAAGGTGATCACCTTGGGTGACTAAAACTGGACCCTAAATGGGGAAATTCGAAGGTCAAAAGGTCGGCTGTGGGCAACTGAGACAAGGAACTAAGAAGTATTACTGCCCTTGATCACTTGTAGGAGAGCTTCAAAAACCACCAATTTTCCCAAGTATCGGGACATGTTCTGAAGAAACGGATACCATAAGGGCCTCTAGAATTAGAATGCAAGTGTGGGGGTTGGTTTCGAACCAAACTGCCTCATGATCATGGAATGTACTTATTCAGTGCGGTTCGGAAGGAAACACATGGGCTTGCAACACTCTCTCGAGAAATTGACGCCTCCAAACAGGCATAAGCACCTCCACTGCAATCGACATCTGAAATGGTCAGACAACCCGCCCACGGAAAACGCCGAGACGGGAACCCCAATGATCGGGCCCACTGGTTTTCTGATACCAGGCCACCAGTCGTTTTCCGATCCGCATAGAGATTCTCGGATCCACAAATTAATCCAGGATCAGGGACCGACCGCCGCAAAAAATTGGTCCGATCCTCCCGCACTTTCTGGGTCAGAAAACGCGAGTCTCACACTCTGTTTCACATTTCGTCCACTTGAAACCGTTGTTTGCATCATTTCTCAGGGCTCCCTGTATTTCTCCTTTAAAAACATCATCCCAACCAAGGGACACTCACCTTTGAAGTGCTAAGGTGATGTTTAAAGCCATCTTTTCAGGCAAAACAGGGCTGTTTCTGAGACCCCCATCGGCGCGGGCAAATCAAAGCATGCTTTCGGCCTTCCATGAGATGATCGTGAAGAAGATGGCGACAAGCACGTATGTAAACTTCATGACCTCGATCCGAGTCGACTCGATCCGAGTCGGATCTGCGTGTAGATATGGGCGTGGCTCAAACATGATAAAGAGGTCTCCATGGGGAGAAACGCAGATGTTCATGTTTGGTTCCATGTACTAAGGTGCCACTTCGCGTACCTACTTCGGACCCACAGCCATATCGCGATAAGTCGCTGCAAAGTTCGTCCGACACTTTAGCCTAAGACTTGTTCCTTGAAACGAGCCTCAGTTTTCAGAGGAGTAAGAGATTACTAGTATGACTCTAGAACCCTTGATTGACACTACACGAAATAGTTATCTTCATTGGACAAGACCCTCAACATGTTCCGGGGTCTAAACTGATCAGCAACAAGCTGAAAACGATTCAGCAGACAGTACATCCACTCCAAGAACCGGAAACAAGCCTCAATTTGCGCTTACGCCCCCTGAGAAGACATGGTCCAGTGATGCTCGATTCCCTTTCAAGTTCTCAGGAAATGGAAGCAAGAATTGGAAACCTGGGTCTCGCGCTCGTTTCCGTTTCTCTCTACTTCAAACCGCGCCTTGAATCGCCTTGGCCTTACTTCCCCAGAACTCAAACCCCCTCGAGGGCTTCCTGCGGGGTCAAATAAAAAGAAGCCCAGGCAATGAATGGTCCCCCTTTGTGGGGACAACCCGCAACTGGGGCCCAAAGATGTACACCCAAAATTGGCTCCAAGGCTGGCCCAAAGATGTACTTGGGCTGAAGATCTTCAGATTTTGGCCCAAATTCAGCCAGCCATGTTCTGAGGAGGCCCCTGGCGTCACCCTCTTCCGATGTGTGTCGAATTCCGAAAGAAGACCTATGTCCTTCCAGTTCGGAGAATGGTTGTGGAGGACATGAAACCCGAGGGCCAAATGGGGAGTCAGGAAAGACTTGGGGACCACGTCCATCCCCTTTCAATTTACTTTCGGGCAAGATTTACAAATCCTGTTTTTGAATAAACTTGGCTTTCTGTGAAGCCTTCGGCTGAGCAGTGTGGGTTCCAGGAATCCATGCATTGCAATGAGGTCGAAAGGACAACCCAGTGCTGAAACAAATCCAGTGGATCAAACAGGGCGTGCCCGGGGAAGCAAAATGCATCGGGTGTTGTTTTGTCCAAGTTCCGAGCAACATACTGAGCATGAAGACCCATAAGCAAATCAACTAGTCAGTCTTCAATCTAACAAACAAGGCCAAGCAACCAACAACTATGTCTAAGATGTGGGTCTGTCTTTTGAAGGGTACCCTTTTTGGGATGGTTTTAAAGTGAAACAAAAAGGAAACTAACCATTTGGGTCCGCTGATAAAGACACACCCATGTAGTTCAAGGGAAGCATCACGTGGCCCGCTGTAACGTGGGATATCCATGGTCTATTTTGTCGGGAAGACGTAAGGGGCTGACTCCAAACCCAACAAGCTGAGAAACCCACCACATGTTTCTCGCATGTGGGTGCTAAGAATCTCGCTCTAACTTGCGAGATTCAGCGGCATTTTATAGGATCGATTCCCCCCCAAAAAACCCTCCATCGTTTCCACCAGAAGGCCTCAGGCTACCCTTTTCTTGGTGGCTTTCCATGAAAACCATGAGGAACAACAGAAACGGGGGCCCGAAACGAAGACGCGACCAAAGACCTTAACTAACGGCCCTGGGGTCTGGCGCGCTTTGAGCGTTGACCCCTGAACCCCCCAGTTTTCAATCAGTGTGCGCCCTGAAAGATTTCAGGGCCATTTTTTGGGTGGTGTGAAAGGGAAACATGAGGAGCACCATCCATTTTGAGGATCCATATTTTTGGTCCAAATACTCAACCCACCCCGATTTCAGGGTACACTCCCGGAGCCTCACACCCCCAAGCCTTCCAACTTCCCGGTACCCAGTTCGGCTGAAGGCACGGCCGCCGGGGAGACTCGCATATCATTCACGTAAAATCCGATTTGGCATCTCGACATGAAGGCCAGCAGGTCCTAGCCGTTGGATGTACAGAACGTGGCACCCACAAAAACGGTTTTAGACCACGAAATGAGTTCCCGGCTACGCCAAAGTCTCGCTAGCACGCCCTGACACACAAGACTCACACAATAAAACAACTATGAACTCCAATTGGGACGGTTGGGCGAGAACAAACCAAATTTGCAGGGAACACCCACAAGAACCCCTCCTCCCTGTGAGGGTAGTCGATTTTGTGACTTTCGATCCGACCAATCACGGTCAACGCCAACTCCGTCCCTTTTTCCGCCAGTGACAAGGGTGCCCTTGGCAAGGCGGGCCCTTCCATTCCCAAACACTCCATGAACTATTTACCCACCAAATACCCTCCAAATAGGTCAGATGTTGGCATATTTCTTCATGGATTGAGAGGGCATAGTGATGCTTACCACCCTTGAAAGGGGGGGTCAACGCATTCCCTGTAAAAGATGCACCATGAAAACTGGCCCCGAAAGTCCAAGCCACCAAACCAACCCTTGTAAACATCCGTGGTTTTGCGGTTTGGGGTGGGAAACCCTGTTGGCCAAATCACAAGAAAACACCGGCGTAAACCCGAACCGTTTTCCCACTGGGTCGAACCGTTTCCACATTTTTGTTGCTTTCTTTTTCCGCTGAGGGCAAAGCCCTTGAACAAGCAGTCGCCAAGCCCGCAAAGGTTCAGTTCCTGTCAGCGCGGGGCCCCGCCCCCTCCTGCGCCATTGGGGTGTCCCATTCGCTGACCAGCATGGAGTTCGCCACCTGGGGCGCCTGTTCGCACTGCCTCAGCGAGCTGACAGAGGCTGAAGAAGGGCTATGTTGATTCTTATCGAACCAAATGGTTTGGTGCTTGAGGGTTTTGCCATATGGTTGCAGGAACCAGGCTTTATGTGCATGTATGTCCTCACTGAACCCGGAAACTTCTGGTTCTCCTCTTGTTTCTCTTTACGGACCCAAAAGGGGTACCCTAAAAAAACAGACCCATATCAGCTTGGGGTCCCTTTTACCATCAGGAACCAGGGGTTCAAACGGTCTGGTGAGGGGTTTCTTTACAGGAGCCAGTGGTTTGAATCTAAGTCCAAGCTACCCTTTTCAGGGAACCTGATGTAAGGGTCCTTGTTCTTTGCGGGTACCTATTGTTTGGGTGGTCAGGGACAACCAACCGGAAAACCATCATTTGGGTTAAGGAAAACCAAAAGGACAACCGCCTCATTGCAGGGGAGGACAAGCACTGACTCTTTGCTCTGCAAAGGTGGCAGAAAACCAGAAAAACACGTGACAAACGCCTTCGAGATCTCCGGTTCTGGGCCTTGTCAGAAGGTTCAGCTTGCCCTAAGACTCATGGCCCCTATGCAAACCCCCGGGCCCTCCAGACCATGGGAGCCTTAGGGTAGATTGCTTGCTTTCCCTCTTGAACACATGCTTAGGGCACGAAACCCATTTCACTTTTTGGTTGCATGGTCAAGGCTGATACGGGCCTTGCCAAACCACTGTACCAGCAAAGCCCACGACTAAAATAGTGAACTCGGGCCTCAGGGGCGCGAGGAAAATATGTTCAACACTTCTGTTGCCCAAACAACGACATGTAGTTTGAGTGTCCATTGAGCAAAAGGCTTTCGGTCGCTTCCCGTTGCCTGAAATTTCCCTTTGCGAGTGGGACATCACTTGAAAACGCGGGCGATTCTGTTGTTTTCACAGGCCCAATGGCGGCCCGAAGCTTGTCTTTCGCTGAGCGGGGCCCAGCGGCCGTCGGAAAAAGGCTGCCCCGTTTTTTGGTTGACCCAATGGATCCGTTTGCCTGTATATCAGGTAACCAAGGGAACCACCCTTTAAAAATCCAGAGGAAAACGGCTGGTTGCCTACTATAACTACTATAATGGTATCTGAGATCCACCGCTTGACTGAAAAAGGGAACTTCAAACAAGAGGGAAAGGGCACCGCTGGGTTGGCAAATTTATCGTGGGGTATTTGGCAGGTGTTCGTTGCCAACTTGCCTCGACAGTCACCGAGCCCTGGTGTTTTGCTTGGCACTTTCGGTGGAAAAGCCCTGAACGGGTGTGGTAATGGTGGTTTCAACGAGGCACTGGTTGCCTGAGGAAAACCAAAAGGCCGTTTAACCATGAAACGAGTGTAGCTTAACGCTGTAAACGTGAGTCTCTGCAAGTGTCACGACTCAAGCAAACTGAAATAAGAATTGGATCCCAGGGGCCAAATGTCTAGTGAGCTCGAAAACCCATGGAACTTGTTTCCATCTATCAGCACCGTGTTTAGGCAGCTTGGCAAAAGCCTGAGATGAGACCAGTAGGTGTTGCAGGGGTAGGAACCCACATTTACCCACAAAAGCCAGACCTTCAGTTTCCTGAGTTATCTACGTTTAAGCGCTTCAGCCCACTGAACTGTGAAATTTTGAGCTTGGACGGATTTCGGCTTCCCTTTGGCTTCCATTTTGAAGCCACAACACTGGGGGAGCCTCAAAAAAGGACGGAAGGCAGAAACGGAGTTCCCGCCGCTTTTGTTTGGATGAGTCGGCGGGCGTTAGCCCCACCATGAGATCAACGCCGGAAAATCCGCAAATGGGATGTCTTTCTCGGGGGACCCCCCAAAATGGTGGTTTTTGTTTTGGTCTCCCTTTAAAACCAACCAAAAGGAGGTACATGCCGTGGTGAGCTGCTAGCCCTTTGGGGTTTTCACATCTGGGATGTTGGTCCCGGGTCAAAAATCAATCCACCCTGGCAAAATAAGGGTTCTAGATGTATGGTCGGTTCGGCCTGATGCGCAATGATTCAAGATTCATTGGGTTTGCTTCCAAATGAGACATGGATCCCCTACAAGCACTTTCCAAACAAAACATATTTAGGATAGAAGAACATATGCGGCCATTCAAATAGTGATTTGCCAATACAACTAATGATTGTCCAAGAACCCAACCACGTGCTCATTGGAAAAATGGTGCCGCCATATACACAACAGGCAATAGCAGGTACAAGAAAAAGGAATAGAAACATATTGGGTGTGTCTCAAAACTAAGGGCCAAATGGTTGATGTCCTTGTCGTTTCACTTTCAAGGCCAACCAAGATTGGGCCCCCCCCACCCTCCCAAAAGAGAAGGGATATTCATATCATCAGAAGGCCAAATGCCCTCACTTCCTGAGTTGATTGGCCAGAGAAACTCAGCTTTTTCTTTACAACTAAGATGCTCTTCATTGCTCTTCCCAAAAAGTGTAAAGTTGGCTTTTGAGGAGGGACAGGCGAGAACTTGCTAAGCCACTGGTCGTCGCTTTCGGAAAGTGCAAGCTTCAGAAAGCATCCGATACTACTGGCGACTTGCAAAATTTTCTTCCAACGTACATCTGGATTTTGCTGGTTGGACAGGGGTCACCGGATTCTGCCTAGGGTTGCAATGTAGAGCTGCCTCTGTTGGATGTCTGAAGCTGGAATTTGAGGCACCAGAGTCAGTCGCCTCTCCCTGCCAGGAATCCCTTGGGTCTTCAGTAGTCCGGGCAGTACATGCCCCCAGTTGCCCTGTGGTACGAAAAAGGGAACCCTTTTCCGGCTGATTTCAATTTTAGTGCGGGACTCACCAAAGGGAAATGACCATGCCACTGAACAACTGGATATCGGTCATGAGTAAAATACATGATGTGTAAAACTTGGATGGGGCGAAGGGGGCACGATCTCTGGGTACGATTTGGCGTCGAAACCAGAACTTTGCTTATAGTCGCACTTTGTCGGGTGACAACTTCGTCACCTAAGGTTACACAGTGAGTCTTCCATTCCCACCAAATTGCAAACACTTCGCTTACCCTTCAATGCACCATCTCCAAGGACATGTCCAGGGTTCAATTCCAACTGCATCCCACACTACCTTCACAGGGGATCCTCCAAATCAGCTGGCCTTGCCCGCATGTCCCCGCGCTATCGTCGGGGGGCTGAGTGAGGTCTGCTGCAATGTAAAGGCACAGCATGGGCATAGCAGACCTGATTCACATCAACATCAGCTTGTTGTTGGAACCCCCACAAGGTATCCTTAGCCCCTCATGGCCAAAACCAAAGGGACCACTCCACTTCCCAAACAGCCCAACGCTTTGCCTCACAGATCGAATGAACGGCTCCCCCCCCCCCCGAAAAAGCGCCAAGCCTTGTATGATTTGCACATGGCTCCCAACACCCAACACCTTGACCCAAGTCCAGGAGCTCAGGAAGTGAGTTGCCACAAATGGACGGCGAAACTGTCCGGCTGGAAGCGGTTCTTCGCGCTGGCATGGCGGCAGTTATCAAAGTTGGGCTTCCACACAAGCCTGTTGGGGCGGGGGGGAAAAGGCCGGGTCCAAGAGACGTGTGAGCTTTACACTTTGCATTGCTTTACAGAAAACGCGGGACACACAGATCTGCTCAAAACCCTTTGCAGCTTAACCTGTTGTAGAGACTCACCGCTTGCAGGTCACAGTTTGGTTGGTTCATTTCCACAAGGTCCGAGCCAAGCAACACAAGATCTGCACACGAGATCGGCCCTTTCAAGGAGTCGGGCATTCCTTTCGTTCAAAAGGAAACCCTGCGCGACGTGCCTTTTGAGTCAAAGGAGCATCGACAAACGTTTCTGTGGCTTAGAAAAGGGGAACTCAAAGGCAAATTATTTGTCCACTTGCTTAAGCCCCCTGGAAAAATGAAATAATTTCCAGTGCTAGATTCCCTTTCAAACAAACAAGGTTTTTTTGGAAAATATTCTTAAGCAAATGGAGGCATCCCTTTTGGAATGGTTTTCTCATGAGCCACACATCCATTCTTAAACGGTCCACGGACCTCCACATGGCTCTCCCTTCTCGACGAAGCTGAGTCGCACAGTCGCAAAGGGCAGCACGCTGAAGAGAACGTCCAGCCAGGAGCCTAGGGATCCATGGGCAGATCTTGCTTTCCCAAGTTCAGTTCAGCTTGGGGTAAAGGGAGACCCGGTTGCAAAAAACATGCGAGAAAACCCTGTTTTGCAGGTAGTGGTTGGTCTCCCAAAGTTGCAAATTAAAGGTCAGGTTGTTTTAGATTCCTAGGTTGCAATTCCTTTGGTTTTTCAGAAGGTTGTAACCCATCTTTCCAGGTCTCCAACTTGCAGGGAGACCAAAAGGGGCACCAGTCCTTTCCCCTTGGAAACGCCAGCTGTCCAAACTTCCCATTTTGACACATGCCCCATCTCAGAAGCCAGCATGCATTTAGGAAAGCTCGCCACAACAGCTGCCAGGGCCTCAGAGGGTGAAACGAATTACGTTATGGTCAAAGGACATGTGTAAAGTCATTTGGCTCATTGTATATTGGTTTGGAGTTGCGAACTATCATAATTCACCCAGATTAGCTTGGTGCCTGAAACGCCGCAACGCTTTCCATGGGCCTTCTTAGAACGAGCCACCTTGACTCGCAACCCAAGACGCGCTCCCCTCGTACGACCCCCCAGCTTGAATCGGTCGTGGCTTGGGCTGGCTAGCCCATCGTTTAACGGAGAAATCGATTAGGCACATCTCAGGGTTACACTTCTTGATTTCAGGTGATTCACTCCCCGAGAAGGAGAACCCCTGGGTTTTAAGTCCATCTTGATTTAGTCAAAAAGTCGAACCCTGCGCATTTCAACCTTTGCCTTTTGTCAAGCTGCACGAGTTGCCCCATTTAGTCGAATGGACAAACAGGGCCAAAGGGACTCTGCAAGTAACGATGACGCAAAAACGAACGCGGCGAAGCACTGTGCTGCAAAAGCACATCACAAAATCACATGTTTTGAGCAAAACAAAGTTTACACAACCCGAAAAGGGGGGATTCATATGGGGATGGTTGCAAAAAGTGAAGTATCCACCAAAAGGTGAAGTATCGCCCACACAATCGGCTGCACTTCCCAATGATCAGCTCGCGGGTCTGTATGGGTTCTAATTTACAGCTCCCAGAAAAACCGCCACGGCAAATCAAAAAGGAAAGTACAAGCTTCAAGTCAACTGGCAGAGGGCGCGGCACAATTACCCCGCTGTTGGCTTTCCAGGTAAATTGAACATGGGCCAATTGGCCCCACAACTGGACCCCCAAACCGAATCCCAATCGAAGTTCCCATTGGCAATTCTCATTTTGGGTCGAAGTTTCTGCGATCCGAATCAGCAGTTGTCTTTAACACGCATGAAGGGTTGATGACTATCAGCCCAAAGAGGAGGGTCTTCTGACCACAGGCTCCATGGACTGAACAAAATCCAAACTTCTCAAGGTGTTCAAAACCTGGCGTACACGACACCATCTGAGGAGACTGCCGGGAAGAGAGCTATAAAACAAGAAATTCCATCTGAACAATTGGCGGTATCCTTTCTAGGCTTGATCACGAAAAGGAGTCCTGATCGGACTCGCAAAGTTCACCAAGACTCGTGCCAGTGCTCGAACCTCTGCCCTTTCTTCGGCAGGGAGGGATTTTGTGTATGTGATGGTTTTTGTTGTTTGCGCTTTTCTTTCGAGGGTGCCCTTTGGCGAAATTCACAGAGAACCTCAGGGAAACTGAAAAAGGACTGGGAGCAACGGCCCGTTCTGAATCCATCCTTTCACTTCCCTGACTGGCCAGATGGCTTGTGGGGCTTAGCCAGGTGCCATGGAACACCTAGCAAATCCACATCACATGGCCTTGTCCTGTTTTTCGCGGCTAGGTTCCCCTCTGATTTTTGCTTTGACACCGCCTTTTGAAAAGGGTCCCCTCACAGAAGATACACCTAAATCTCCAAACCTGTGCTTTCAGCGAAGGCGAACCCAAGCCGCTGTCTACATAGTGGATCTGGAAGGCGGCACCTGCGCCGAGTACCTAAGACCGCGGCGAACCGAAAAACGCGGCTGCGAAGGGCAAACTTTGCCAGAGAAAAAGCAAACACGCCTTTCTTTTTGGCAGTCTCCATTTGGAGCCATTTGAGAATGAACAGGATCAGACAATGCAAATCTTAAACTGGTTATAAATCCAATTTATCCCAACGGAAACGAGCATAGCTTGGTCAACCAGCAACTCCAACGACAGGAGGCCCTCGAAACCCTATCAGCTTGAATCTGCGCGGCCCCCCAAAAAGGAAGCGCAATTAAGCGCAATTAAGCGCCCGACGCTCAGATTCCAGCTTTAAGCTTTTTGGTGATGCCGTTTCGGTTCTCCGAACCCGCGGTGGAAGTCTCGCAAATGGAACCCCAGTGATCGGAAGCGGCTCTCTCCCTAGTGCCGCTGATCCAGGACCTCGGGCCCTAAGGCGACGACTTCACTCGACTCATTCAACGAACGATTCGAATCTGCAACTTTTACAAATCAAGCGGAATGCAGAATTGGATCCAAGTAAAGAACCTTTTACACCCACAAGCTGAATTTGAATTTTCCTCTAAATCCAAAAGCTGAATTCAGGATCGGATCCCCAAATTGGTCACGGACCTTTCTCATGGCCTGAGCTCCTTCTACCCCCCGATCGGCAGAACCGCTTGCGGTACAAAATAGGCAGATTCATATGGCTCTGGGTCAAAACCCTGTACCCCTGGTGAACATCAAAAAAGGTGGCAAATGGATGTTCATCCACCCCAAAATGCAGCCATAGATTATGCCCCATGGCCATATCCGGCGAACAGGCAAGGTTGACAATTGCCCACTGCTTGAAGTGAAAAAGGGCGTGTTCCTCGTTGCTGCCAATGTAGTACCGGGTTTGAGTGCGAAGCCGTCGGAACACATTCTAACCGGTGCCGCAAATTAGCCAACCGTTCCTTCGATGCATGGTCTGAGTGAGACCCCTGGAGGCTCTGACTACGATGGAATTCATCCGAAGACTTTGTGGGGTACCTTTCGGGCTCTTCCTAGCTGTCAGAATGGATGTGTCTTAAAATCAGGGGACGCCTGAACATAGCTTTGGGGTTCCCTCCAACCCCGAGAAGGGTATCACCAACCCACAAAACTTGCATAGTCATGATTCCCCTTCAAATCAAGAGGGAAGATCACCTCAGTTGTTCAGTGACCCTGGAAAAAAGGGAACCCTTTTTTGGGAAAACCATTTTTAGTGGGGCAAACAACTGCGTCACCTCAAGAGAATAGAACAAATCACCGCAAAGACCTAGTTGCCCATTTCCCGCGTTCCAGACGAGCTGCGCCCAACATCAATTAACTTTTGGATCCGCAAGCCTTAAGCTTTTAATAAGGCCGAGTTGCCCTTTAGGCCAATTAGTCCTTACATACTACAATCTATACGAGACCCCTCTGCAAAAACATGTATTTCACCTTTTGTGGGTTCAATGGGGCAAATCCGAGTTGTTTCAACCAAAAAGTTAAAGTCCAAAGATCCGTACACTAAGGTGAATTGGGTTTGTCTCAAAATAGGCCAATGGAGAAACCCGCCTGGGCTTGCTTTTGGTTTCCCTTTGAAACCCCGAAAAGGAAGCCAAATAGAGCCTGAATTGGCTCACAGGATTCCCATCCAGAAACAGCGCAACCTCCGCGATTTGTTCATCCGCAGCGGCGGGAATCACCAAGCTCACCGCTGTCAGCGTGTAGGAGCATCCGTCGCAGAGAGTGCGGATAAAGATCTGGATGGTATTCCAGTTGGCGGCCATTCCTGCAAGGATATGTATGTGCTTTTTCTAGGTCCTCCAGTGTAGAGCTTAGAATAAGGCTACCAACTGTTTTGCCGTAGTCTATTTTAGTAGGGGAACCCTTCCCCAAAAAAAGGATAAAAGGGCACTACTAGGGGACCTAGGGAATGTACTGCAGTGTAGTGTAGTGTTGTTTGCGTAGTGTAGTGTAGTGTAATGTGATGAAACACAATGCAATGCAACGCAACGAATGTAAGGTAATGTGATGTATTGTAGTGCAATGTAATGTAATGCAATGCATATAATGTAAGATAACGGAAGGAACAAATAGCATGATGAATGTAGCGTAGTAGAATGAATGTGGTGCAATGGAAATGGAATGGAATGGAATGGCATGTGATTAATGTAATCAAATATAATCCCATATGATGCAATACAATGCAATGGAATGCAATGAAGAAAAATAATGAAATGTAATGCAATGAAACCAGTGAAATGTGTAATGAAATGGACAAATGAATGTAATGCAATGCAATGCAATGCAAGGTAATGTAATGTAATGTACTTTAATGTAATGCTAATGTAGCGAATGTACTGCAACAAAACGTAATGAATGTATCGTAATGCAATGTAAGGCAATGTCATGCAATGTGATGTAGTGGTATGATATGCATTGTAACGAAATGCAATGTAACGAATGCAGCAACATGCAATATAACTAATGCTTGTAATTTAACGTCATGGCATGTACTGAATGTAGCGTAATGTGTGCATTGCAATGCGACGTAATGCACTGAATGTACTGTAATGCTATGTAGCTAAGGAGCGCAATGTAATGTAGTGCATGTAAGGAACTGTAAAGTGATGTAGTGCAATGTATTGAATGTAACGCAATGTAATATAGTGTAATGCAATGAATGCAGTGTAATGCATGTAGTGTGACGTAATGTAATGAAATCAAATGCGCTGTAACGTAATGAATATAATAAATGCAGTGTAACTGTAACGTAAAATAACACAATCAGATGCCATGTAAATTAGTGTAGTGCATGCAGGCTTATGACATATGCATGCATGCATGTATATATGTAATGCGTGCAATGTATGTAATGTATGTTTTGTATGCATTGTATGTAACATAATGCAATGTAACGTAGCGTAACGGAATGTAATGTAACGAACCATAATGTAATGTACGTACATAAGTGTGTGGGCATGTATGTATGCGTGCATGTATGTATGCCATACCATACATGATATACGATAGATAATTACAATCATTACACCATGAATATGAATTCCCTTCGACCAGCACACCAATAATCCATCTATGTATACGTGTGTATGAACATTTAGAACCATCACACCAGCACAACCATGACGTCACTTGGCCTTCTCGTTTCCTCGAGAACAACACCTTGATCATGGGACTTGAGCTTGTTATAGCACTGTCAGCTCAAACCGAACCGGGCCCCATGGGGAACCATTTTGGAAGTCTCCGCAAGTTGTGACTTTGAGACCGTGGTGACTGTAGCGGGCCCAAACAAATGACAATCGGCTAGCTTCCCTTTAAAAGGTGGAGAGGCCTTGGCCCCGTGACCCAAAGGAAAGGAAGCAGGGACGAAACCCAGCTGCTTGTGGTGCTGCCAAGGTTTACATTGCACTTAAATCTAACGAAGCCAGGTAAAAACTGCATACACACCTCGCCAAGAATGAGAGGGGCCCTGTGTTTGTTCAAAAGGAATGAGGTTTAGCGAGGTCAAAAAATACATACAAACATCGACAAAATGAGAGGGGCCCTGCATTTTTCCGAAGGGAATGACTGCCCTTTGTGTTCCCCGTCCTTCGAATTCCAGGTCTTCCGAGGCCAAGTCCTGCATGTAGCGGATCCTGAGCCAGCGAAACCAGTCGAGAGCTACCGGCGAGTTGGAAGGAAAGCAATCGTTTGGCCAGCGCTGACCTAAAGCCCCACGCCGGCCAGAGGTCTTCGCCTCCAGTCACCCGCCCTCACCCTACCTGTCACCCTCGTGGCTTGGAGTGGGATTTGGCCATGGGCTGTTCAAAATCCAAATCGGTTGGCCCCCAGACATCCGACTCAATCCAACCACTAAAATAGGTTCTAAGATGGCTGGTGAATTCACCGAAAGCCCCAAAATGGGATCCCATTTCTTTTGACCCACAGCCAATTGGCTAGAAACTTCAATCGTCAACCAGCTCAAGAGTAGTTGGTGAACATGAATCTGCACCTAAACATGTTATTTGAATACCAAGGTCATGTTGCCAAATCATTCAAACCAAGAACACAAACAAGTATATGCCATAGTCACAGCTTCAGTGGACCATGCCATGGTGGCCCCTGCATGGTAATCCTTATGATGGATTCCTAAGGGGTTGATGAGCGTTTTGACTGTTGTAACAGTGTAGCCCATGTGGTCATGGCAGCCTCCACTTCAATACGTGCCCTGGAATACAAATCCAGTAGTAATAGATTCCCTGTAAAACTGGGAGGGGAAACGACACATTCTGAAAGAAATGAAAGCCAGTAGAAACTTGGCCTGATAGAACACAGATAAACAAGGTCAGGGAAACTCGCTGGCTTCCCAAATCCCGAATGTGGAGCCTAACGATAGGAACACGAAGGTGAATTTATCCAACGGCTCGGAGCAACCACGAAACAAAATCATCTGCCTTCGTGTTTTGAAAAACAAAAACCGGCAGATGACCTTCTTGTTTTGAAACACACAGGAGATGACCTTCTGTTCTTTTTTGTCTGGATGTCTGGAAACAATGAAACAATGACCAATGCCTCTTGTAAAGATCGACCTGAAGCAACCTATTAACAAATAGGCCACCCACGTGTTTACGTCTCCGACGAGACCCGAGGTCTTCGAAGCTCCGTTGACCCTTCTTGGGAACCTCAACCAATCCCGTCTCCGATGCCCCATTCCTTTCTTGAGCCCAAGAACTGGAGGTAGACTTGGCGCCTTCCGTCTGAAACCAGGACATCTAAGCCGCCCGAGAGCCGAGTCTGCCCGGCTACATGAGGTCTGTGCTTTGGATTCCCAAGCTCTCGGGGCTTTGAAGGGCAAAACAAAGAGTATGTGGGCTTGGTGTACCGTGAAACTTAAAATACGTCGCGGCGGAAATGATGCTAGTATTTATTCAGCCCCTGGTTTTTGTTCAAGTTGGCTTGAGCCTATTTTGAGGGAACCCTTGTTTAGGTTCTCCAGTAGAGAGGTTAGAGGAAGGGCACCCTATTTTTTGCTGTACTCTATTCTAGTGGGGGAACCCCCCCCAAAAAGAAACGGTAAAAGCACACTGCTGGGGGACCTAGTTGTTGGGCATGAAGCCACAGCCGAAACCTAGGCACACGCTGGTCTTCATGGCCGAGCAAATGTGCACCACCCGCATACACAGGCCGCAGATGATACCGGAGGTGATGATGAAGCCCAAAACACCTCCGAAAAAGCGGTCGACGGAATCTCACCGGGCAAAAGGGGCCGAAAGGAAAACCACCAGGGTTGAAATCTTGGGAAGCCTGACCTGCGAGGGCTCCCTGACTTTTTGCTCCAGTTTCTTGAGGAAACCGATTGGACCCCCCCCTTACGTTTGGGGAGCTGACTGTGCAGAAAAACCACAAATTGTGGGAGTCTCCTCAGAGATGGATGCCATAATATGCGCATGATCAGGCATCAGTTGAGCGGTGAACATGTCTGGCTGCCAGAAAGGCTTTATCAGACAGTTAGAGCTTTCCTAGTTGCTTAGAGGCTGAAATCTAGTGAGTCTCTCCATGTCCCGAACCTCAAAGTATATGTACGTACGTACGTATGTATGAATGTATGTATGCATGCATTCATTACTTTAGTATTGCCAATTCGACTTTAGTATTGCCAAGGCCCCCTCTCAGATTCCTAGTACTTACTTCAGTATTGGCAATTCGACTTTAGTACTGCCAAGGCCCCCTCTCAGATTCCCAGTGCTTACTTGTGTATTGCGAATTCTACTTTAGTATTGCCAAGGCTGGCTCTCAGCTTCCCAGTACTTACTTTAGTATTGCCAATTTTAGTTTAGTATTGGCAAGGACCGTTTTTTTCAGCAACCCCCAAATAGGTTAGACACTACAGAGAACCCCAAAACAGTCACATTAAACAGGATCGGGGCCCCTTGTAGGCACCCCCCTTTGTGTGACTGGTGGCCCGTACTTTTTTGTAAAGAAGCTATCTTAAATTGGATGGTTTGGGGCCACTGGCAAAATGCACTTCCTAGATCCAAGGCCTTTACCCTTTGAGCTGGGAAGAGCTTGGTTAGGTGAACCACCCTAAAAGTAAAAGGCTAAGGCTTGAGTCGAACAATTTCAACAACCCAACAAGCCGTTGGACACTAAAGAGGACCCCAAAACAGTCACATTTAAGAGGCTCAGGGCCCCTTGTGGGCAACCCCCTTTGTGTGACTGCTTGCCCGCACTTTTTTGTACGGAAGTTATTTTAAATTTGATGGTTTGGGGACCACTTCAGAAAATCCTGTTTGCCCGGATTTATTTGCTCGTCATATTTTTTCGGAGGCTTAGTCCCAGACAAGATCAGGAGAGGGTGCTATTAATAAAGGAGGCGTAACATTATGGATGTATGCATGTCTGTCTGTCTGTCTGTCTGTCTGTCTGTCTGTCTGTCTGTCTGTCTGTCTGTCTGTCTGTATATGGTCTCCCCATGATCTACCTTCCCTTCGTCCCCTTGAACAAATGCTAAACACCCTGTGCTGTTTGAGGTTGTTTGCATTCACTTTGTGTTTGATGGCCAGCCAGAATCGGGGATTAATACATTTACATATATGAACAGGAAATGATAACTAAGCCTCAAAGTATGCGCATACCCGGGGGCATTAGTGCTGAAAAAAAGGGGGAACAACAAGTCTCGCACGAGTGAAGGGATGCAAGTCGGTTGATCCCATGTTCAAACCAGCCACTCATTGGTTTCCTTGAGGCCCAAAGGCTGTAGCCTATAACCTAATTACAAAAACACACTCACCTGTGGCCCGTCCAATAGGTCATGAACTGCACATGCTTGACTTCGGATTCATGAGGACCGTAAGGTGGCTTCTTTTTAAGGAAATCATCGAATACTATTGGGGGCTTCCTATGAGTAGGTTGGCAACATGATCTGGTTGCTCGGTGAGAGTCTCTTTGAGGTCAGACTAAAAACCAGCCGCACCTGAAACTCCTTGTGCTTCGGGCGGTGCGTGTAGCCTTCATTCAACCCTAGCACAAAACATACATATATATATATATTACCTGGTCAATTTCCGAGGTGCACTCGACGGCGGGGGGGGCGCGCTTTAGCGGGTCCATTCCCAGCCTCACTGAGTAGATTGGCAAACATAAATTTAAAGCTTGTTGTTTACAAGTAGCATAGTTGTCCCAAGTATAAAGTCTAGGAACTCGGGGAGTATCTACGGCAAAGACTCCGGTATATGTTGTCCATGCAGTGCAAGCTCTGACGGATGCAACAAATCATTCAGTTTCGCATCCCATCCTTCTGAAATGGTAGATGGCTGTGATTTGAGGGGCAAACTCAGCTTTTGGACCGTTGTTGTTTGAAGGGAAAAAGAGGGAACCCATCGGCCAATTCCCTGTGATCTGGGCGGGCATTTGGAATCTTCCGTTGGGGGTTCGCACTTACACGCCTTGCAACAAAGAGTCATGGCTTTTTGTCCAACCATTGGAGCTCGGACGAAGGTTGATGGTCCTAAGCATCATTGTCTCAGATGCCCAGTGGATTTCCACAGGATCAAAAGGATCGGCATTTGATTTTTTTTGGTTGGGTGAGTTTAACGGGAACCTTTCCAAACAAAAAGTGGAAGAAAGGAAGCAAGCCACTGGGCAACTGGGTTGTGGAAAGTGAACCATGTGCGCGACAATGTGAGTTGATCACTTTGAGCACAACTTCCCACCCCAAATGAAGGAGACCCAAGTAGAAGAGGAATGCAACCAAAAAGAAGGAATGAAGTAAAGAACCTGCATGTTAGCGGCCCAGCAAATCCTTGAATTGCTACTGTGAACCAAACCCAGCCCATAGCCACCCCCCGTGCCCTTCGCCTGAAGTGACCTCGGGAGGAGCGGCGAAAGGCTTGAATCGGTGTCAAAATACGGGAATGGCGATTTTCCTTTCAGGTTTCCCTTTAAACCAGCCTCAAAAGGGCACCCTCCAAAAACCGCCAACCCGCCCGGCAGGTTGTAAGGCTGTACTATGACACTCATGAAGCCGTGTCGCTAAACCACCTCCCAAAATGGCAAAGAGGGGTGGGGGTGTTTCTGGAAGAAGCCGCCGGTCAAGAGCGAGGAGCGGATCACGAACCAGGCGAAGCTGGCAGTCCATCGGACGATGGGCAACTCCAAACACGCCCACCCTACCCAAAACCTATATATATATATAATTCCAGTATATACACACATATGTACTATACATACATATACAACATACATATTCTTAACCAACATTCACACATATATATATATATATATTAAAAATCCAGTATATACACACATATGTGCTATACATACATATACAACATACATATTCTTAACCAACATTCATACATATACATATATACTATTAATTCCAGTATATACACACATATGTACTGTGCATACACAAAAACAACATACATATTCTTAACCAACATTCATACATATATATATATATATGGCTATGACTTTTTTAGGGGTCTGTAACGTGCGACGCGCCACGAATCTTGTTACGGAGGTCTGTAACGGAGGTCCTTGTTACGCAGGTCTGTGACGGGACAAACATTTCATGACAAGCAGTATCAGTAGCACAACGTAGCGCAGCACAACGAGGTATGTAACGGCTATGTAACGAGGTCTGTAACGAGGCAAAGCAAAGCGCAGCACGCAAAGCACGCCTCCGCAGCTCTATTCAACGCAAGCCAAGCTGCGGCAAAAAGCGGGGTCGCTGGCCCGGGCTGGGGTTGGGTCTGTAACGAGGTATGTAACGGCTATGTAACGAGGTCTGTGACGAGGCAAAGCAAAGCACTTCATTGCAGCTATTCAACGCAAGCCAAGCTGCGGCAAACACAGGGCAGTCACGTCACTGGCCCGGCTTGTTCATCTGAGGTGTGTAACGAGGGCGTGTAACGAGGGTGTGTAACGAGGGTGTGAAACGAGGGGTGTGTAACGAGCCAGCTGGTTTTGTTACAAAGTCTGTAACGAGGTCTGTAACGAATGTCCGCCGCGGCTCTGTTACAGACCCCTCAAAAAAATCACTGCCATATATGTATATTCTTAATTGCAGTAGTGATAGATTCCTCATGTCCAATAGTGATAGAGATCAGTGGGGACATAAAACCAGATTTCAGCTTCCCTCCAGTTGGTGGTTTGGAGCCCGGTGCTGGTTAAGTGCCTTCCCTTTACCCTCTCTAAGAACCAAAACCACACCAGCAATCCAAACTATACCAACTAATCAGCCCATGGGTCACCCGAAGATTCATTTGGGTGTGGGTCAAAATTAAACAGGAGGGGCTGGCTCCGCAGGTTTTGGTCCATTCCACTTCCCGATCGGGCAACCCATTTTGGGGTACCAAATTTTGGTTGCCACAGCGATTTCAGCCGCTTCCCAATGTTTCGCTCCAGGCTCAGAGGCTCGGACACGCCGGACCTGAACTTTTTCACCGAGGCGCCACGTAGGCGCGCTCGCCCGGGTCGTTCCGGATGTTCTGGGTCTGGCGAAACGAAAAGAAAAATCGCGAGAACTGCACAGGCGAGGAAGTGCTTCAAACTGGGGAGCCCCTTTTTTTCGCCGTGGGTGGAGGGAAATGGCCATGGTTCAAAACCAACGGTACCCATTTGGGGGTTTCGGTGCACCACCCAGTTTAGGACCTATTTTAGCGGTTGGATTGAATCGGATCACTGGGGGCTAACCGGGGCTTTTGCCCCATGAAATCAAAAGGACACCAACACAATCCACAGAACTTGTGCCTTAAGATGCCTTGGAGCTGGGCGTTCAATAGCCTCCAGCCTCCCAGCCTGCGCTCAGTCGAAAGGGAAACCAACCCAGAGTCCTTGAACTTCAAACGCCCAACAAAATTGCACCCGGAAATGCCAAGGTCCTGGCTTTTGGTGTCGCTGAAACAACACACCAAAGCCCCCGATCGGTGGCTTGATGGCTTGGATGTTCATGTGCTAGTTTTCCCATTTAAGCAAGGGGTATCTGACACAACTTGAGGCACTCCCCACAAAAAGCAACAACAAGAGCTCCAACATCGCACACCGAAATGTGCTTGTCTCGAAAGCTTCCGACAAGCGCTCGGCCTTTTGACAAATACTAGCTCACATGTCTCACGAGCACCTCTTGGCCCACACCCTCAGATAGATGTTGGATCCGCAAGGAATGTGGCTTTCCTCCTCCCCGCCGAAGGGAAGGCCCTTCTGTTTGGTTGAATCACTTTCCAAGGGGGGCGGTCCCCAAATCCCCTGCTAAAAGTGAAGACCCTTTCGTGAAATGAATGGAAACCCAACCACTAATTTCCAAAAAAGCTAAACAGTTGAAGGGATGGCCGGAAGCCAAGCTAATAGTTGGCCATACACTTCTTAAACAAGGCTAGGTCCTCCAAAACTTTTTTCTTCGCTAGTCTATTTTAGTAGGGGAACCCTCCCCCAAAAAAGAAACGGTAGAAGGGCACTCCTGGCATATCTAGAAGGTGGTGTAAGGAGGATTAGGCAAAAACATGGAGCCCGAAAATCCCTTTTACCAGAGCGGGTGCGGCTGCCGGGCCGCACCCGTTGGAACCATTCCCGGATCACGTTTGGCGACAAAGACTTGGCATACCCCTATGAAGAGATCTATAGAGTTCGCACATCTCTGGAGACCTCAAGGGTTCTGTGGCCAAAATTTGGGTGGCCCATGTAACTTGCTTCTGTAGCACTCGCGGGGTTCTGTTGCTCTGCAATCTTGTATCACATGTCGCGATCAACTTGGAGGCGTCCACAAAGGCAACGCACTCAGACATTTTACAAGAAATCCGCCAGCAGCTAAAGACGCCGGGTGATTGCTGGACATTCGGCGAGCCGTCTGTATAATTTATATAATTGTTCCAGACCCGGCTTGAAAAGAAGGGCCCTCGATTCTTCGATTTTCCGCGATTCTTTGGCTCTTCGATTCTTCGATTCTCCAAGTCTTCGGATCTTCGATTACTTCATTGACACTCCTATGCTTCGATTCAACTTCTTAGACTCTCGATGCTTCTCGATATGACCTGAAGGGCCGGCCTCGTCCCACGGACAAAGGGTTCCCATGGTTTCCAAGTGACATGAAGCAGCCACTCGGTCGAAAGGGGTAGACAGACTTTGTGCGGCCAACTTGAACTCAAGAAAGGTTCATCCGCGCCAGATGTTTATCGAAAGTTGCTTGAACAGCAATCTTTGGATGGGTTTGGGGTGAATAAATTTGGTAAAGTGGTGTACCCCTCACTTGCCCAAAGGACCTCGAAAATAGATTGTTAACTTTTTGGGCCACGACTAGGACTCAGATGCCCAGAGGCCATGGCAAGAAACGGGCATCCTTTTTTAGTTGTTCCCAACAAAGGAAACAAAGGGCGGAATCAACAGGTCAGACTTCTTCGGGCTTCGCCATCCGAATCCGAGTGCCTTGTAGATGCGGGTGGCGATGATGGAGGCAATCGAGCACAGCCAGGTGGCGCCCCTGCAGGCAATCCACAGTCCAATGTTGGCTCGCTATTTGGGTATGGGTCAAATCTAAGGAACGGGACCGAAGGTTTTGGTCCTTGGTTCCATTTACAAGGGTTCCATGTTGGGTACCTGTGTTTAAGTCACTTACTCAAAAGACAAACAACAACAAACAGACACACACACACACAAACACAAAAACAAAAACATACTACCACATAAATACACAAACACAGACACACACTCACAGAGACACAAACACAAACCACAAACACGCGCACAACGCGCAACACACAAAACCACAAACACAAAAACCAAAAAAACATAAACACAAAAAAACACAAACATACCACAATCACGCAACAGGCAAACACGCAAACACACAAACTCAAAACAAGCAAACACACGAACACACAAAGCGAACCGCTATTTTTGGGAACCTCCTATGTTGACACATGCTCATCTGGCCATGGGTCGAAAGCCCGTACCCCCGGTGAACATCCGAATCCCCACTAAATTAGACTAAAATGGGTGGTGCACCTACCCCAAAATGGTACCATTGGTTTTGTAGGTAGGACTCTGCCAAAACGCGCAAAACCTTGAACAAAAACACTGGGTGGCTCCTTCACCTGCCACTGGCATTTCCCCCAGGTTGATCAATTTACGTATGGTGTCCATCGAAACTGGAGGAAACTCCAACAATAAAACCTTGTTTTTCTTTCTGACCCAAGCAACAAAAAACACGTAGCTTTCAAGAAACCTCAGCGGATCTGCTGGATCAACTTTTTGGTGTGAACCTCGTTAAACTGTTCTACCTGCCACGGCTCAAATTGGACGTGCGTTCATACATGGGTGCTTACAATCCGCCAACGATGCGTCCAGGTTGATTGAACAACAGCTCTTCAACCTTGCCTCCAAACAACAAAGAAAAGGAACAAGTTCTTTCCGGGTGGTCGAATAGTTGGGGGAGTTAAACACCATCGGAATCTTAAGGGTCCGGAATCCAATGATTGAAAGTGGGATATCATATGGACCTTCCTTGTGGGGGCAGAAACAACCCAACCTTGGTTCTGAGATCCACCAAGGAGAAAGTGGATTCAAACAATTCAGCAGATTGCCCCACACGCACGCGCGCGCGCGCGCACGCACGCACGCACGCACGCACGCACGCACGCACGCACGCACGCACGCACGCGCGCTACATCTTGTTGTTCCACCAAGTAGCTGTTGGCGACAGCTCGAAAGTCCTCTCTCTTTTTTGCTTATGGTCTAGGTCCTCCAGTAGAGAGGTTAGAATAAGTTGATACCCTTTTTTCTCTGTAGTCTATTTTAGTAGAACCCTCCCCTCAAAAAAGAAATGGTAAAAGGGCACTACTGGGGGACCTTGTAGTACTAGACTGGTCTTAACCCCACAAAAATATAAAGTTCAGGATCTCCGGGGAGTGAGCACCGCTTGGAGTTGAACGCAACATCTGTCAGTTGTGGATGTTGCGAGTCCCGAGCCGAGCCCTTCATTTGCGAATACGTCCCCTGAAATAAATGAGAACATATATGTCCTGTCGTGAACTCGATTCCCTTAAAACCAACAGGGAAAACAGAGAAGACATCTTAAACCTGGGCTACCCTCAGATCCCCTGGAAAAAGTGAATACCTTTTAGTGGGTTATATTCGGAAACTACCATTAAACCAACGGTTAAATGGACACTCCCACTAAACCCTAAAACTCACTTCCTGAGTTGATTGGCCAAAAAAAGTCCAAACTTGTTGTTTACCACCAAAATGGTCTTCCCAAAAAGTGTAAAGTCCATGAACTCAGGGAGTGAGAAAAGCAACTAAAAGGCTAAGGAACCAAACGGCTGGGGGCCACCAAGAAACCAACTGGAAGGACTATGGGGGTGTGCCCGGTTTTAGCGGGGATTTATCACTTTTTGGAGGGGAACACCCCCATATTCATAAACAGGGTCAACATTAAAACCAACGGGGAAAATAATTAGAAAACATCTTAAACCGATTGAAGTGCTCGGTTGCTTTCTGCTCCCCTGCTAAAAGTTTGTAACTTTCAGTGGTTCAATGGAAAACCGATTAGTTGGCAAAAAAAAGAGTCCAACCATCCAAGCAACATGCAACAAAGAACCTTTCCTCCGCTTGGTGCCGTGGATTGGTTTGGAGGTGTTCCAGGGGTAATTAGTTTCCTGAACGGGTTCAATTCCAACTCCAAGCCACCAACAGAATTGTACCTGAGGCTACCGGACAGGAAAGGCTGAAACAAAGACAATGCAACGAGTACGAGTCCACGAGTCCAAGAGTGCAACGATGAAACCTGAAAGGAAGGGGACAAACTAAAAGCCTAAAACTAAAAGCCTAAAAACCACCAAACCAACCAAAAGCCTAAAAGCCAGAGGAACCGGGGCTAAGGAACCGCACGGCTGGGGGCTCCAAACCCGAGCCATGGCGCAGCAGCCCGCCGTTCCGCTTGGAGATCATCAGCCAGGGCTTCACGTAGCCCAGGCCCACCTGGGCGTTTTCTCGGGCCCACACCGAGGGTGCGGAAGCCAATGAAGGGTCGTAAGGGACAGCCCCAACCAGAAATGGATGTGGACACCCTCTTTCGATTCTCCGAAAACTTTTGAACTCTTGAAAGCCACTTCACTGCCAGTCGATTCTGACTGATCGGACGATGAGTTCTTTCAAGATGACATCCCCTGGGCCAAAGTTCACGCAGAGTTCCTTGGTGTGTGGCAGACCCTCCTCACAAGTGGATGGACGTATTCATCTCCACCAAAAAGAAGCGGCTCGATTTCTCCTTTGGGTTTAAACAACTGCTTTTTTCTGGGACTGTCCCTTACTACCCTTCATTAACCCGTGTTGGGGTTGAGGCGCACGCAAAATGGGCGGTGTGGGCAGAGGGAGGGGCTACGCATTTTTAGAGACTTCGAGCCCCATATCTTACTTCCTGAGCAGATTGGCCAAAACAAGTCGGAAGCTGTTTGTTTGCCACCAAACTGCCTTCCCAAAAAGTATGGAGTCCCAAAACTCGGCATGGCCGAAATAGGGGGATTGCCTGCGTTAGCTGGTTATCTAGGTCCTCCAGTAGAGAGGTTAGGTTAAGGGTACCCTTTCTTCTGTAGTCAATTTACTAGGGCAACCCTCCCAACCAAAAAAGGGTGAAAGGGCACTACTGGGGGACCTAGTTATTCAAGCGAAAGCAACAGGAAACCGACCAGTGAGTTGTTGTGGATCTGACTCGGAGCCTAGGTTGCTGCAGCCCGAAGTCACAAGGGTGGGTGCTTTTCGTGGCCTCCACTTGTCGAATGCGTGCCCTGCCTCCGTTTGCAAATTCCCCCCCTGGAAAATGAGAAATATGATTCCAGTAGTGATACATCCCCTGTAAAACCAACAGCTCTAGCAAATGGAAGCCGTGAAACAAAACACAAACAAAAAGTGATTGATTCCCCTCGAAAAACAACAGGGAAACATAAAACTGGGCTGTCCGTTTTCTGATCCCCTGCTGAAAGTGAATCACTTTGATGGGTTAGATGGAAACCCCCACTAAGCCCCTAAAACCTAGAAATCGAAAAACGTAAAAAGGATGGCTGGGGAGCGCCAAGAAAACATGCTCTTAAGCAAATGGACGTTGTGGTCGTTGCCTTTTTTGTCTCGGGAAGCCTTGACAAAAAAACAACTGGGCACCACTGGCTGGGAACAAATGGAAATCGCGCGGTTGTGACCGACTCTTGGTGAGCCTCACCTCAAGGGCCAAGGATACTCAATAATACAAAACATATATACATGTATATATATATATATATAATGTTTTGCATAATAGATGGTCCCCCCCAACCAAAAAAGCGACAAGGTTGCTCCAAATACCCTGGCATGGGTAAACGCATGGGTCGAACGGACACAAAGGTAACACAACCAAGATGATTTGTTTGGACGAAACCCGAGTGTGATCGACTTGCATTTCTGTGCAGATTGCTCTGCGGAATGCTCTGCGTTGCTCTGCGTGAGGCACTTGACCAGTGTCTACTTCGGCGCATTTTAATGCTTGGCGCAGGTTTGTTGGGCTCTTTGAGCCGATCAGACTTTTTAAGGCTCTGGTTCAACGTTCCTGGGCTGTCTATTTCAGACCCCCCTAAAGATTGGCTTTGTGGGGTAAATTCGGAAACCCAGCCACTAAACCCAAAAAAACCACCAACAACCTCTGGAACTGGACGAACAACCGGGGAACTGGACGAGTCGAAACCGGAACAGAGTATCCAGAAAGAACACTGACCCCAAGGATACTGGATACTCTGGATAGAATTTGTTCTTTCTGGATACTCTGTTGGCAGGAACAATGTCAAACAATGTCATCAGAGTATCCGGATGATGGCAAACACTGACAACAGTTGAGTTGGATCAGGATCGAATGGCTAAGGTGTGCTTTGCGCCTTGCCAGACAACGGCCGCCAGTGTTTGTGCTTTGTCAACGGAAGCTCACAGAGTGTCCGAAAAATGCCAAAGCTGCTCAACGACTACTTAGAATAAGGAGCAAATGAAACAGTCGGATTCCGCGGCGTGCCAAAAAGGTAGCCACGGAAGGAAATCCACGCGCTGGTGGAGACACTCGCGCGAGCTCAAAGGTTTTGAGAAAGGCGAAGCGCAAATCCATTCGATCGGCGGACAAGTGCCCTAAAATCAAAATCCCGGTTAGCCCCCAGTGAACATTCGATTCCATCCCCAAATCGGTACTAAAATGGGTGCACCGAAACCCCCAAAATGGGATCCCATAACGGTTTTGACCCACAGCCATATGTTCCTCCGTGAAATCGCTTCCTCTTGACCTCACTTCCTGAGTTGATGGGCCAAAAAATGTTCAAACTTTCTGTTCACCACTAAAATGGTCTTCCCAAAAAGTTTAAAGTCCAGGAACTCAGGAAGTGAGTGACACATCTTCAGGAAACGCTCCTTTTGGAGCGGCACAAATGGCCGGCTTGGGTCAAGTGCGGGATCCAAGTCCGGAAGTGGGTTCGTTTGGGGAAGGAAGACCGTTCTCGAATGCTTCAGTTTGAATTGAAGGGACCCCAGAGAAAAAACACAAACAAGAAAAACAGGGGAAAAACAACAAACACCAGAAAACAAAACAAAACACACACCAAAAAAAAACACCAACAACCAAAAAATGATGCCCCCAAGCAATGAGCTTGCCAGGCTGTCAGCATTTTGCGGATTGCCGCCCAAGCAGCCGAATGAGCTCGCAAAAGGCCGTCCTGTTCACCTCACAAGACAGAAACAGTTGGCATGTTGTGTGTTTTGAGGCGATGGTAGGTGTCAAGTTCCAAAAGGATTTCTCACCCTTTCAAAGGTCCAAATCCCTTTGACACGTACGTGTGTTGCCGCATTCAAGTTCAACTTCGGATCCCATGGCGAAACGACTGAACCCATTGAACCGACATCAGGTTTTGCAATATGTCAAAATATGAGGACTTCGAACATTCGTGTTTCCCCACCTAAAGGGTTCCTAGATGTTACTCCAATGTCCAGCCTGCTTGCCTGCCTTCCTGCCTGCCTGCCTTCCTTCTGTCCTTCCTTCCTCCTCTGTTCTCCTGGTTTCCGATATGTCTTCGCCTGTACTCGCCTTCTCCGGGAAAGCTGGACAGTGTTGCGCGCTGAACTTCTAGAGGGGCGTCGGAGAACTCGTCGGACGTAGCCGAAACTTGTCAATGCGAATATCGGATTCGCGCAGCATTTGATGAAAAATACACACGCACAAGCGCATTCCTCGCGTTGCTTGATTCAAGATTGTAGAATCTAGCTGGGCGAACAAAGGTTCCTTTTCAAAACGGATCGAGTTCCAAATGGACTTCGTATTTCATTGGATTTCCCTTTAAACCAAGCTTCACAAGGTCACACGTCCACACGTGGCTTCTTTTGTTATAGGTGCAATGCTGCCCCAAAGCATGGCTTGTTGAAATCCCGGCCAAGGATGTGGTAGGTTCCGCGACAAATCCGTCGCTTCCATTTGCCTAAGTCCCCTGGAAACATAAGAATACCTATCCAGTAGTGAAATCGGCTCCCTTTAGCACATAGCACAGAAAGCATCTTCCTGAAACGCAAATGGAAAGGGGTTCCCCTTTTCGTCTCCCCAAAGCCAGCCCCCCTTTCCCTTTCCCGGGGTCTCTCCTGTTGTGGGGGGGGCGATCGCGGCCTGGGGGGAGACTCGAATCGGAGATCTTGGAGCTCAAGTGGTGCACCGCCAGCCCGCCCACCGCACCTCACCGTAACGTAGGTGGTGAAGCGGTGAAGCGGTGAAGCGGTGAAGCAGAGGCCCCGAAGGTGTGGCGTTGTCTTGTTTTGTTTTCAATTAAAGACCCAACTGTTTGGTGCATAGGTGATCTTTGGATGAAACATAGATGGGCTTCCCTCGGAAATGATGGTTGGACAAACTAAATCACAGACAAGTTGTGTCAATGGGGAACTCCCAAAATGGCTCTCTTTTGGGCTTCCTTTCAACCAAGCACTAAGGCCTGAGCAACGTGGCTCACATCTGTATTCCAAACATAAGGTTTTTCTGATTCTGTGTATGCCCCAAAATATAGAACAGCTTTTGGCTAGAGACCCAGGTATCATAAGGCCTACGCTGCGTTTTGGGGAAACAGCCTTCAAAGACCAGGTGTCATTTGCCCAGTTAGGCTTCCAGAAGGTGGGAAGACGCACGGAAGACGTATTTGGGGTTGCCTGGGTCACCACACGAGTGAGGTATGAGACCACTGACAGGTCGCTGCCAACACGTTTGAAGTCCATATGCTGCGGAAGTAAGGGTATTTAAAACGCGGCATGTAGAAACACATTTCATAGCTCCACCGCGAAAAATAACTCACCAACGCCCGCCAGACCCCACTTCCAAGCTCAGCTCTCAGAATCTTGGGCACTTTGCCCTGACCCACTTTCTGCAGAGGAACGTGTTGTGTTGCTAGTATCTATTCATGTTCTCTTGGTTGCAACTTCTGGGAGCGCAAAAAACAGATCTTCAGATTATGGTCAACAACATGCTACATCTTTCTCAAAAGGTCGCAGAAATGTCTGTGCAGAGGTATCACCGTTTGCCTGGGCACCACAAGAATCCCTTCACTCTTGAAAGGTGGTTCAGACCATGATTGCAGAGTTGGACACTTTTGTCAAGCCCCTTTTCACGGTTTCGAGGGAAGCCAAAGGAAAACCAAGGAATCCATATCCGGACGCTTTGTCACAGCTTCGCCCAACTTCCGGAGTTGGGGCTCTCGTCATCGTCGCCCACAAATACACGCCTGGTACACCGATCCTCGTGGCCCTTCCATTTGTTGGGCACTGTACGCCCCCAGAAAGTGGTGGAGTGTTGGAGCTGGGCTCTCGTGATATGCCAAAGATGTACCCTCCCAAGTTGCCATGGCACCTGACAGGGGGTTCCCTCAAGAGGAGATTCATCTTCCAGATGCCTCCCCATAGCTGCCATGTTAGTGGAAGGGGGGCAACCCATTTTCATATTTGTCGATCCGTGTTTGCACCCGAATCCTCAAGTTTGGGCTTCATCGACTCGACATTTGAAAGGTTCCAGCACCTTCTTCTCAATGAGGTTCTTGAGAGGTCCGCCCAAAACAGTTGCCCCTTAGGGACGTGGAAATTAAATTTGAATCTTTTGGCGTCATGACTAAATATGGGAAATGAGTTTCGCCTTTGGTTCTATCTTGGGCCACTCGCAGGTGTTTGTGTGATACCGCCCAGTCCAGGGCCGCAATCAATCCAAAGGGGAGTCCTTGAAGCAGAGATGCCTCTGACCAGGATTCGTGGGTTTTTGTTTGCGGCGTTCCATGCCGATCCAAGCAGCTTTGGCTTTTGTTTGCCGGCTTAGAGAGATGAATCCAACAGGGAAAACCAAAAGGTCAACAGGTCGATTCGCCTTGGAAAAGTGAGTCAAGGACAACCTGTCGGCACCGAACCGGCCCAAGCGCCCGGGGCCCCCCGCTCGCGAGCATCCCGAAGTTCAAGACATAGCTCATCCACGGTTCGTAGCCATTCCTCGAACCATCGCTGGTCCACAAGCAACAAAACAAACCTGGGGTGTCTTGCGGACCACAAATAAATTATATATATATATATATTTATATAAAAAACGAACCTGGGACAGTCCACAAGACGGCTCACAAAAAAAACAAACCTGGGCTGTCTGTCTTCCTCTGGGACAAAATAGAAACCCAACCAAAAAAACAAAACACGTAAAGACCAAAGGAACCGGACCGATGCTACATATCGCGGCATGTCGGACCAATGAGACACGTAGGCCAAAAGAAGAGCCTCAGTTCAGACATAGCCTCCCCATCGACTCTTCTACCTCCGTAAGGGCACCCCAAAGATCCCTTAAAACTGACCCTCATGGACCGGTGGGATTTGTGCGGACACAAAAAGGACAGCAAAAATATTCCCAATTTTGAGAGGAGCCTAGTTTCAGAAACAATCTATTTACAATAAACACCTCCGAGCATGTGTTTGTGCGCAGTCGCTGTCCAAATCTGACAATGGCCGTTCTTTGCTTCGGTGTCAGAGTACCCAAGTCAATTACCCGGCCAATTCCCCTCGCTTCAAGGGGCAAGGGTGGGGTGATTGGCGCGCCATCCGTCTTGTCTTCCCATCGTAACAGGGAAATTGACTTGATACAAGTGGAATCAACCACGGGGTCGTCGTTGACCACCATCAACCATGTCCAGCATGATTTCTCGGGCAGCTTCGTGCTAAACTTGTTGGTCGATGATGTCTTGAGACACGTTGGCTGTTGGCCAGCTTGTACTTCTACGCAAGTCATCGGAGTCAAGGTCTGCTTCCATTTGCTGAAGTCCGCAAGAAAACATATATTTGTACTAGTGGCAGTGGCAGATTCCCTGTAACACCAACAGGAAAAAATAACACATACTCTTCAGCTGATGGAAGTCTGGTCAAAACACCCTAAAATCCAAGCCACAGGCCTAAACCACAATCTAACGTCAAGCCTTGCCACCACGAAGCATAGAATTGGCCTCGCTTCCTCTCAGTTGCAAACCGCCCGAAAGGTAGAACATGGGCAGATCATAATTTTCGGTTGTTGAACTCCATGTTTGCTGGGAATCCGCCAAACACAACCGGACTCATCGGCTGAACGACTGCCGAGGAGACTTGTTTGTGTGGCATCGAGAAATTCGCGATTTCCTTCCCATGGGGGGAAATTTCCCCGGCTGAGTGGATGGCCCAAAAAAGTCCAAACTTCATATTTACCACTAAAATGGTCCAAACCCAAAAAGTGACTAAAGTTCATGAACTCAGGTAAAGCCAAGCGGCCCTTCAAGTCTGGCATGCGCTTCTACGACTTTGACCACCTCGGAGTCAGCTGAGTTGCAATCAAAAACTGCGGTGAATCGCAGCCATCGGAAACCGAACGTTTCCCTAGAGAGCTGAAAGCTATAGGTCTTCTAACTTCAACTTGGTTAGCCACCCCGATTTTCCGTATATATCTAGGTTTTTGCAGTGGAGAGGTTAGAATAAGTTGGTACCCGCTTCTTTTCCTGTAGTCTATTTTAGTAGGGGAATCCTCCCCCAGAAAAGGGGAGAGAAGGGCACCTAGCCGAACTCCTGTCTGTCTCGGGTCTGTGCGGGGGAATGTTGTCTTATGTTTTCGTGGTTGAATGGACAGCATGAGATTCTCACACCAACTGATACCCTGGCAATATGGATTTTTGTCTCAGGTGAACCCAACAAATGTGGGCTTCCTTTTGGTCTGGGCTGTCCGTTTTCGGATCCCCTCCTAAAAGGAGGGAACCCCCACCACTAAACCAACCAAAAACCACTAAACCCCCCAAGGAAACGGCTGGGAACCGCCAAGTCTTGCTGTCGGGATGACTCATATGACATGTGTTCCAACAGGTCATCCATTCAAGCGACATCCCCAAATCACCCTCCAATCGGAACAGGGAAAAGCTGCTTTGATGCCTACGGCCTGCGAGCTGTGGCCCTTTGGCACCCCTTTAGCTCACTTTCGATGTGGATTGGTCCAAGAAAGTAACTACACTTGTTGCGTGCCACTAAAACGGTCCAAACCCAAAAGTGACTAAAGTCCATGTTCTCAGGACGTGAGTAAGGGGTCCGGATCACCAAAACACCAACAAACCTTTTCCCCTTCCCCTCAGAGTTGCCTGAGATGGAACCCACCCCTACGGAGCGAGGCGCCGGAAATCCAATTCCGCGGCCCTTGTACTGTAGGGATCTGAGACACCATGAATTCGAGAGTGCTCCTCTTTCCGAACAAGCCTCATGAAAATCAGCTCTGACACGGAAGAGACCAAAACCACAAGGAACGGCAAAGGACTGTGAGGAGTGGGTTGGGAAGACCCCCCAGACATCGACACTTGCGGTTCTAATACACCTCGCGTCCTCACCTCAGTTGTTCAGTGACCCTGGAGAAAAAAAGGAACCCTTTTGGGGAAAACCATTTTTTAGTGGGGCAGCCACCCAAAGAAAAGGAAGGGTGCCACTGAACAACTGAGTCACTCAAGCCTCCTATGGGGCATGGCGATGGCGTCCTGAGCAACGCTGGCACTGGTTGTCTTCTTGTATTCTGTTGGGGGGTTGGGCGCTGCATGTAAACCGACACCCGACCACTAAGGCCAAGACTGAGGCAAGCAGGACCACCACCATGCTGATAAATTTCGACTGGCCATCGATCGGAGGGTTTGCACCCCTTTGATCAGCGCCTCGACGGACAAGAGGACAGTAAAATGCCAACGAAACAAACATCGGAAACGTGAGCCCTTGTCCGGTGCCACAGGCAAACCCCCGATCTTTAAACATATACATATATGTTGGGGTTGTCCAAAATTACTTTGCCTGGGGACCCCCAATCGCCGGCCAATCGCGATCTAATCGCGACCGCACAGATCCAGTCGCGGAGCAACGTTGGACATCGCTGCTGTTTTTGTTACGCTTTTCGCTGTCTTACCTCAGCTGGCCTTCCTCCATTCATACCGGAAACTGGAAGGAAGTAACATAGCTCGGATGGGCAGGGCCTCACTGGTGAAAATCGTCCAATCGCCGTCCAATCGCCGCGCAACCGTGGTCCAATCGCGGAATTCGGCGGAGAAATTCCGGTCTGCAGCTTCCAGCCTTTGCCAGTAAGCAGATTTAGAAAGCACAGCCTGGACTTGCGCAGGCGAAATCAACATTCAGCTTTCCAGGAGAAACTTTTGTGCGAGCCCGTGCAGTCAAAATGAGCGAGACGTGCGTCGGCACCACAATCTTAACACCATGCAGCGTCTAAATTCACAATAACTTCGTTGCCCTTTCGCTGTCCAATCGCGGGCCTTTCGCGGCTCGAGTTTTCCCAATCGCGCGGTTCAACAAGTTGCCGCTGTTCATAAGTTTGAGACATGCAATTATGGACGGCCCCCATGTGTGTATGTCAACGGGTATTTGACCTTCGGAGCTGACCGGCCCACTTTTAAGCAGAGGATTAATCGAGTAGGAATACTGCACTACCTCTGATACCTTGAGACTCGATCCAACCTCCACAAGTGTATTATTTGTAGGCACGTGTCGCACAACTGAAATAGCATCACACGAAAGCCACAAAAAAGCGGACACACCATTTGATGTGCTCTGTTCAAAAATAAATCCGAAATGCCTTGTTGAGAAAGATGCTTCGCTTGTCTGATGAAAACCACAAAAATCTGAAATGCCATCCTTTGCGCACATCGGAGACATGAACCCTGGAGGTCGTGTGTTTCTTTAGATGAAGACAAAAGTAAACAATCTAACAAGCATCGGAGAAACGGCACGCGCTTTGCTCTGCGTGTGTGTGTGTGCGTGTGTGCGCGCATGTTTTCTGGTGACCAGAAGAAAATTGAAATGTCATCTATCAAACATCGACGAAATGGGCCCCGGTTGCTGGGCAGAAATCGGAGACATGAGCATCATGAGCCCCCAACTGAAAGGCCATTTAACAAAGCAAGCAACATGAACTCTGCCTTGTGCAGTGATGTTTTGTGTTTGGAACCATTCGATTTGGACACTAACAAAACTGAAAATTAACTTATCAATAAATGGAGGCATGACCCCCCCCCCCCCGGCTGTTTGCATATTTGTTGGACACCGAGGAGAACAATAAATGTACATTTTAAGAATCATCGGAAAAAAGGAGCCCCTGATTGGCAAGGCATTTGCTTGTTGGAAAACCTAAGGAATCTGACTGGTGCGGGGCCTTTGACTTCTGGAAATCAAAAGGGAATCCGCAGGTTCTCAAACATCAGAGACATGAGCCCTCCTTTTTGGGTCTCCAGCGTTTGTCTTTCGTGAGCCAACAAAAAACCCAAAGACCATTTGACCAGCATCCGAGAAGTGAGCCTTTTTGCTGGAAACCAAGAGGAATCTGACATGCAGCTGTCATGGCACAAGCCAAACAAAAACACTCGGGCAACGGATTCTCGCGTCCCCTCTCAAAGGGATGACAACTGGTTCCCGACTATATGGATCAAATCTGATCCACTATACCTAAATTCCGGGTTGGGGCCCGCCAGTCCCAACTTTCTGATTTCGCGGTTGGCCACGACATTGGGCGGTTTCCTGTGGGCTTCTTGCTGGCTCAACGAGCTGGTTTAGGAGCGGATCCCCTGAAGGCTGGGTTTTGAATCGGTCCTTGGCCCACGTCTGGGGTGCTCCAAAAGCAGTTTTGCAGATTTGTCCGCTTCTGCTCCATATATAGTCCATATACAAAGTCGGCTTGGAGGAGAGTAACCCTTCATTGGATTGGTTTGGAGACTTGAGCCCTGGTTCTTGTGGGGGGTCAATGGAAACCCATAGAAAACCAACTAGTTGGCAAAAAAAGTCAAAGTCCAAACATCCGAGCAACATGCAACAAAGAACCTTTCCTCCACTTGGTGCCGTGGATTGGTTTGGAGGTGTTCCAGGGGTTTCCTGAACGGGTTCAATTCCAACTCCAAGCCACCAACCCAAATTGTACCTGAGGCAGCAACCTGCTCCCCTGCTAAAAGTTTTTAACTTTCAGTGGTTCAATGGAAAACCAATATAGTTGGCAAACATATATATTAAAAAAATCCTAACATCCCTTCGCCACCTGAGCCTCTAAGCACTCCCCAGTCGCGCGGCTCTGCCCGTGCCTTGGAATGGAAGCCCCGGAGGCCCACCAGGTGCCGCAGCCACCAGAGGCCGCCGCGGAAGGAGAAGTTGGTCTTCGCCATGGCCACCTGACGCTGGACAGGGCTGTGGGGAATGGAATCCACTTCTGTGATACAACACTAACTTCCCGAGTGGGTTGGCCAAAAAAAGTTTGAACTTTTTATTTACCACTAAAATGGTCTTCCCAAAAAGTTTAAAGTTCATGAACTCAGGAAGTGAGAACAGAAAGGGCTTCCCAAAGACTCGTTTTCTTCATATCAAGGGGGATTCCCAGAAGTATCACAGAAGTGGTTGGAGAAACCCCGAGTGATCCCACAACCCTGCTGCTGGGAAACCGCTGGCACTTGGAGCCGAACACGTTCCAAGTCTAAGGGCAGTTCCACCAAACAAGTTGGGCGTGGGTCAAAATTAAACCAGGAATCGGACCGCAGGTGTTGGTCCGTGCTGCCACTGAATTACCAGGGTTCCATTTTGGGTACCTATTTTTGACCCACAGCCAGTTTTGGCCAACATGAGAAGAGCCAGTTGCTCTGAAGGAAAAGCCAAAAGAACTCTTTTGATCCGGGTTGGACATCTGCTCGGATCAACTGGGTCCAATCTTGAAAGCTCTCAAGGGCTGGCGAATGTAGACCGGGCGGCCGGGCGGCCCCTTCTGGCACTGAGCCATTATTCGCATTGGGGTTGCCCGACGCTCACTTGCCCACCAGGAGCTAGAAATAAATAGGGGGGTCATCTGTTGAAACCCTCACCAAGCATAGGCCGAAACTTGGCCAGACTTAGACTTGCAAAGGCCAACTTGTTTGTCGGCTAAAAGGGGAAATGGGAAAACCCAAGTGAGCGCAAGTGCGGCGAGGATAGTTAAACCTGGCGATGAAACTTGGATAGCCACACATTGAAGCGGCCACAAGTTGCAGCCCAGCCCAGCTCGCTGGGCCTCATTAGCGGTCACGCTCTTGGTATGGCAGCAAAGAAGCATGGTTCTTTGTAGCCCCCCCCACTAAAAATGACCAGAACCAAACAACCTAAAATCTCTCCCTGAGTTGATTTACCAAAACACGTCTCCACTTTCATTTACCCCCCACGATGGGTCTGCGCAAGAAAATCGGTCCAGGAACTTGATCGGAAGTCAGACAACCGTGAACCCCCCACCTTTCAACAATGGGCAAAAGCAAAAACACCAAAAAACACCCAGAACCAAACTAAAACCCCTTTAATAACCAAACACAAAACAACAACCTGAAAACCAAACAAAAAAGCGCATGCCAAGCGTGAAGACGCCCAGCAAATCCGTCCCTTAACGCAAAACCCGGGCCGGATTCGAATCGACTCCGCCGGGCCTCCTCGGCCATGTCTTCCTGGAGTTGTTCTGCAAGAACCCGCGCTTGTCGCCTCCAGGCGCCTGCGTGGGGTGGGTGGGGTGGGGTGGGGTGGGTGTCCAAGGGAAACCTTTGAACACAAGAATGACTTGGTTGCTTTACTGGGAACTGGGATTTCGGGGCGTTTTTTTGTGTTTATCAGCGAGCATGTTTGCGGGTGTTCCGGGCTTGGAAACCACAGGGTTCAAATCCAAATCCAAGCCAAAACCACAAACACCCGCCAAAGCATGGTGCTTTAAGTGGTTTCCCCCCCCGCCCCCCCGCCACCAAAAAGACGAGCATGGTGCCATGTTTGCGAGTTTTGTCTATTTTTAGATACTCCCGTGTATGTATAGATTGTACTTTGTTTGTTTTTCATAAACAAAGAGCTGTAGCGAACATTGGCCCCAATAATCCATCAAGACCTAGACCCGCAGTCCCCATTCACAAACAACTATATAAAACGGCCGTGACCAGCGCCTGAGACGGCCAAACCACTCTCAAGGGGAAATGGGATACTGGAGGTTGATCAACAGGTCCTTTACATGGGCTGACCATTAGGGGAACCACCAATGGTAGGTTAAATGGGGAACCGCCACTTCCAATTTCTGACTTTGATGACCCCTATCAGCCTGTCCTCATATCCCCCGAAAAAGGTTTAACTTTTAACCACTCAACTTACAAGTAAGGTCCGGCAGAGCCGGGGGGGCGCAAGTTTCAAAAATATAAAAACTATAGTTCTCTTTCTCTTTCCTTTCTTGACTCTTTTTCTCTTCTTCTTCTTCTTCCTTTCATTGTTTCTTTTTTCTCCGTCATTCTTCCTTCCTCCCTTCTTTCTGTCTTTTCTTTTTCTTTCGTTTGCTTGTTTTTGTGCTGTTCTTTCTTTTGTCTCTTCTCTGTCTATCTATCTGTCTATCTATCTAGCTCTTTTTCTCTACCTATCTATCTACCTAACTACCTATCTATCTATCTCTCGTGTTATCTATCTATCTGCTTATCTATCTATCTCTATCTATCTATCCCTCTCTCTCTCTCTCTCTATCTGTCTATCTATCTCTCTATCTATCTACCTCTCTATCTATTTGTCTATCTATCTAACTATTTATTTCTCTATCCATCTACCTATCTATCTATCTATCTATCTATCTCTCTTTCTATATATTTATCTAAGGTCTCTCTATCTATCTATCTATCCATCTATCTATCTATCTATCTATCGATTTGTCTATCTATCTTGTGTTTGTTTATCTATCTATCTATCTCTCTATCTATCTCTTTATCCCTCTTTCTATCTATCTATCTATCTCTCTATCTCTCTTTCTTTTTTCTTTCTTTCTATCTATCTCTCTATCTCGTTATATCTGTCTATCTATGTATCTACCTATCTCTCCATCTATCTATCTATCTATCTCTCTCTCTCTATCTGTCTATTTTCCAATCTATCTATCTATCTCTCTATCTCTCTATGTATCCCTCTATCCGCCTATCTATCTATCTCTTTCTCTATCTCTCTATCTCTCTATCTCTCTATCTATCTATCTCTATCTATCCATCTCTCTATCTATTTCTATATCTCTCTCTGTCTCTACCAATCTATCTATCCATCTACCTCTCTATCTATCTATCTATCTATCTATTTATTTCTCTATCCATCTACTTGTCTATCTACATATCTCTCTATCTCTCTTTCTATCTCTTTATGTATCTCTCTCTCTATCCATCTATCTATCTGTCTATCTATCTATCTGTCTATTTATCTCTCTATCTCTCTCTCTCTCTATCTATCTATCTATTTGTCTCTCTATCTCTCTTTCTTTCTATTTATTATTGCTTTATCTCTCTCTCTCCATCTCTATCTATCTATCTATCTATCTATCTATCTGTCTCTTTCTCTCTTTATCTCTCTCTCTCTCTGTCTTTCTATCTATCTATCTCGCTCCTCTTTCTATCTATCTATCTATCTATCTCTGTCTCTATCTATCCATCTAGCTCTCTCTCTCTCTCTCCATCTCTCTTTTTATCTAACTCTCTATCTGTCTATCGATCTATCTATCCATCTATATCTGCACTTAAAAGTTGCGATTTTCAAGCCCCGAAAATTGACTTCGCATACTACTTTCGTACTTAAAAGTTGCGATTTTCGAGCCCCAGCTGCGAAAGTGGGCTTCACGTACTACTTTCGTACTTAAAAGTCGTGATTTTCCAGCCCCAGCTGCGAAAGTGGACTTCACGTACTACTTTCGTACTTAAAAAGTTGCGATTTTCAAGCCCCAGCTGCGAAAAGTTGACTTCACGTACTAAATGTTGCGATTTTGGAGCCCCAGCTGCGAAAGTTGACTGCGCGTACTTAAAAGCTGCGATTTTCGAAAGTGGACTTCACGTACTACTTTCGTACTTGAAAGTTGCGATTTTCAAGCCCCAGCTGCGAAGGTGGACTTCGCGTACTACTTTCGTACTTAAAAGTTGCGATTTTCAGTCCCCAGCTGCGAAAGTTGACTTCGCATACTACTTTCGTACTTAAAAGTTGCGATTTTCGAGCCCCGGCTGCGAAAGTTGACCTTGCGAAAGCGCCGCGCCTGCCACGACATGTATACTTGACCTTGCGAAAGTGCTGCGCCTGCCACGACATCTATACTTGACCTTGCGAAAGTGCTGCGCCTGCCACGACATCTGTACTTGACCTTGCGAAAGTGCTGCGCCTGCCACGAAATCTGTACTTGACCTTGCGAAAGTGCTGTGCCTGCCATGCAATTCACACCTTGTGAAACCTGCGCGCGGCCGTGCCAATGGTCACATCTCCGAACCCGTTCCGGGACCGTTCCGGGACCGTTCCGAGACCGTTCCGGGACCGCCTCCGTACAGGCGTCGCGACCAAGGTGGTTTGAGCACTGTCCGCAAGCCCAATTCACGCACAGAGCCAATGTTTTCTGCATCTTGCCATCCCACAGCTCTCCTGATTTCAGCATTTGTCGTAGCTTTTTTTCGCGCGCATCGTGCATGCTATATGTCGAAGCTATCTATCTGTCACGCTAACCATATTTTAGAAAGCTATCTATGTGTCAAGCTATCTGTCATGGCCATGCGTCGAAGCAGCTAGCTCATTTAGTTCCAGTACTACGGAAGTTTCTTGTTAAACTTCCTTTGACTAAAAGCCACCTAAGGAACCTGACGATTCGTTGGGAACCGGGAACCGCCAAGCCGAACAGCCCAAAGTGTCAGCAAAACCCCAACTTCCGCGCCTGAGACGGTGCGGGGCAGGATCACTGCTTCCTTTCGGATTGTCTTGACCGCCATGTCCAGCTGCCGCGAGTGCCGCGATGACCAAATCCGCATCGGAGGCCTCACAACAAGGCGACGCTTTTGCCGCTTTTGACGCTTTTGACCAGGGTCTCACTGTCCTTCTTTGCCGGGAGGTCGGGTGAAAACGGGTGAAACATGAAGCACTTTGAAAGTCTTCCGGCTTTTTTGGTTTGAACTTGGCGGGCGAAACTGGGCTCTTCATCTTACCTTTGGCTGGGCCACCTGGGAAGCTCAAAGGTACCTGGTCTAAGGTCTGTAGTGGCCGGGGTGCCAAATACGCGTCTGGAAACGATAAACCATGTCCATCACCTTTGGCAAAATTCAAAACCCATTTCAGGCTATTTGGCACAAATACCCCAAATAGGCGGGTGCGTTGTTCAGTGACCGTTTGATAGAAAATAGGACCTTTTCCTTCTGGGTTGATTCCAATAGGAAATGAGAGGGCAGGCTTCAGTAGGCTTGACAAGGGCACGGCCAATGGGGCGAACCGAAGAAGCGTCGAATGCCCGATGCGAAGGATCCAAGAATCGAAGGCTTGAAGGTTCGACGACTCCAGGAGTCAAGAGTCGAAGACAGGACAAATCGCAGAATCGAGTCGAAGAGGCCGATAAGTCAAGGAACCAAAACATCGCGGAGTCTTTTTTTGTGTTAATTTGCATTTTTTTTTTAAAAAAAAAAAACAGAGTTGGGCCGCAGAGCCGCAATGAACTGGGGCGGTGTCTTTTCAGCTACACAAAATGATCTTTCTGACTCAAACATGGTGTGTAGCCACGAGCGCCCATCTTCGAAAGCGTCGTGGAGACTCCAGGTTCATTCCCCTTCGGCTATGACCAAACCACAAATCAAAACCAGCAACTAGGGGTTGCCTGAGTGACAATCATTGTTGGACAGATAACTTAACTTGATACTTCTGGCATTTGAAGCAGGCAATTGCGGCGCCCGTATTGCTTTGCTACATCCCCGCAAAAATTGCCGCCCGAGTGCAAAGAAACTCCGACCTGGAGTTTCCAGGACCCTTCAAACATGGGCTCCGTAGCCCCTCCAAATACCCACTTTTTCGGGTGCATTTAAAAGCCTGGTTGTCCACGATAAACACCTCCCTTTCTGGGGCCTGACATCATGCGGCTGGGGGTGGCTTTTCTGTGAAAAAAAAGCAACGCTGAGTCAAGCTCCTTGCTCATGACTTTCTTGAGTAATAAGTGCCTCTGATTTAATTCGGATCTACGACCATCCCTGGTAATATGGGAGGCTACTGAATTTCACGCTTTAGTCTCTTCTGAATTCATTCGGTTAAGTGCCCCCGCAGAGAATCCATTGTTTTAGAGTCTGTTCCATACTTCGTGTACATAGAATCGTTGCGAAAACCCCGACCATTGGAACTCAAAGCCCACTCTGGCTGACCTGCTGAAACGGATATGACCCCAAGCTTGAAACGTCGTCTTCAAAAGGCCCGTTGCAAAAGAAACAATCGCCATGGGCTGGGAATGTGGTTGATCTGTTCCTGTACATGTCTCTGGTCGTGGTACATGTACCTGAAGGAAGCCTTCTTGGTAGCTGGGTGATTCTCAGTGTCCTCGTTGACTTTGGGATGCACGCTGGAGTCCTCTCTTGGGGATCTGTGCTCTGCCGAGCCAGTCGATGACTCTATCTTTGTCCTGTTCCTGTGCTTGGGGCGGCCAGTTGGCAATGACCACTTGTGTGTTGGCTTCTCTTCTTGCTTGCAACGTGTCACGCTTCATAAGGTATGCTTGCTGCCTTTGTACCTGCTTCAGGGCGAAACACAGAGCATCTGTGTCGCTCCAAAATCTTGTTCGGCTGAATGGAGTCCGCCTCACGTTTGCATCTCTATGCTGTCGCTTGCCCTTGACAATGTTGACCGTGCTTCCGCGTATGTTCTGACTGTCTCTTTTCGTGGCGGTGAGTTGTGGTGTGTTGCTCGCTTGGCTCCTCCAGTGATCAGCCTCATCTTGCCTCGTCTCCTTTTGGGTTTCTTCTCCTTTTTCTTTCTTTTTTCCTTCTTGGCTTTCTCGTTTCACGTGATTTCTTATGATCAGCCTCTTGCAGTTGCTTTTCGAGGCCACGCTTTGCGGATGTCTCTGCCATGGCTGATCGGCGGCGGGGGCAATATACTATACTAAACCTGGTTTGTCCCTCCAGAAAAGGGTACCCTCAAGCGCAAGCCAAGATGAACCCTTTTTCTTTTGGACCCAAGGGGTCGTTTCCCACAGATTCACTGAACACATCTCTGTTGCGGTTTGGACAAGCAACCGCGCTCACCCCAGTAAAGAGTCATCCTCATAATTACCATGTTTTGGTGGTTTTGAACAGGTCCCCCCAATTTGGCGTGTGGCTTAACACAGGAATCGTACCCCTCAACATGGATTTCGGTTTGCCGTTGGTTTCCCTTCAAAGGCCCACAGAACAAATGGCAACACGAGCCAGCCATCCAAATTTCTCAATGGCTGCTGTTGACCCCACTCCAAAGGCTTAACTTGTGGGGCCAATGGAAAATCCGCTTCCCACAGCTCAAGTCCAAAGATCCGTTCGCAAATCGCCAGAAAGACATGGGCTCCACGAAAGTTGGGAAGCCCCGTCAGTCTTGAGCTTCCCGGCTCGTGCGGGGTGTGATCACAATCCGAAGGGATGACCTGGTCCAAGTGATGGTCCCTGCCTGCAACCGGCGGAGTTGGGCAAACCATTGGGCTGGGGTGTTGATGCAAGGAACAGCGGAAGGAATTGGCCTGATGCTGGTAGTTGGGCGCCCCTTTTTCAGGAAGCCCGGGAACCCTGCTTTGGTTTAGTTGGTGTTAAAGGCACCAGGGAACCCCCGTGGACGGTTCCATAGTCAAGTTGATGTTCAAGGAAAATTCTGAAAACGGGCACCTAACTTCCAGTCAGAGCGGATTGCTTTTGGCCTGAGCTGAACCCCGAACATGTCTGCTTTTCCTGCCCTCATTCCCCACAAGTGATTCTTGGCCACATAACAAAGGCGTTATTTAATATTTGTTCACATGGCACGAGAAGCAATGCAGGTAGCTACCACACAGGCCAACGGATCGATCCCGCGGCCACAGGCTATGCTCAGCTTCTCTCTAATTGCTAGTTAGGAGCCGGGTGGTTTGGTGGTTCAGGGCAGGTTTTCTCATTTACCCTCTCCAAGAACCAGGGGTTCCCCACTCCAAACCCCCCTCTCTAAACCACCAACTAAGGGATCTCCTGAAATCTATGAGCTGCAACCATCAGCTGGCCTTTTGGGTGGTTGGCCTGGTGGTTGGTGAAAAAAGGACCGCTTTCCCAATTGGTTTAGGAAATCAAACCCCGAAGCCAGTACAAACCCGTTTGGTGGAACACGATTTGGAAAAAAAACTCAGCTTGGTTGGAATGAAACTCAATTGACATACTGGTGCTCAGTAGGGAATGAGGGAATGAACCTAAAAACAACCCCTTGTGGTGTCCTTTTAAGTGGACTCCTGGGTTCATTCCCTCATTCCCTTCTGATCACCAGCAAGTTGAATGGCTTGTAAATCCAAACAAAAGGGACCATAAGGATTGTGCAAGAGTATGGTCCTTCTTCAAATGGTGGCTGGTCAAAACCCTCTCCTGGCAAACAACTAGCGAAACAACCATTATCTTGTGCAGCGCCCTACAAAGGAAAAACACAATCTGACCCAATGTTCAACCCTAAATCCAGGGGGTTGAACTTTTTCTAGCATCATTTTCTAGGTCCTCCAGTAGAGAGGTTAGAACAAGGGTACCTTTTTGCTCTAGTCTATTTTTTAGTAGGGGAACCCTCCCCAAAAAATGTGTAAAAGGGGCACTACTGGGGGACCTAGTTCTACAAAAGGGGGAAGATGTCTCAGACGTCATCAAACATTGGCACCATCAAACCCAATGATGCTTCCAAGCGACAAATTCGCGAACGGCCCCGGAAAAGGAATGCCACGGGTCGGGCACAAAAGCGGCCGGCAATGCATTCATTTCCAGTGAGGCAAAAGGCGTTTCAAACAGGGGTTAATTCTCTAGGTCCTCCAGTAGAGAGGTTAGAACAAGGGTACCCTTTTTTTCTGTAGTCTGTTTCAGTAGGGGAACCCTGCCCCCAAAAAAACGTAAAAGGGCACTACTGGGTGACCTAGTTCATTATCTTGCTGGTGCACAGCCGCCAGTTGGATGACTTTTGTCGGTTCCCTCTCCAGTCTCGAGGTTTGATAGGGAAAACAAACTTGTCCTTATCCATTCCAACCTGATTCTCAGAGGCAATTGCCCCTTTCCTCAAGTGAATATTGATTCAAACAGTCTGACTTCGTGCCAACAAACGCTCATATTCTTTGATTTGCCACTGCAATGGTCCAAACCCAAAAGTGACTAAAGTCCATGAACTCAGGAAGTGAGAACATCGTTTCTCTTTCAGTCAGATGCAACTCCCTGGTGTTCTGCCGTGGTTCCCAGTCCGAATCTGTTTGGCATTCTGAAAAGTCAACCTTCGCTCTAGAAAGCCATGAGGTCTGATGTGTCTGTGCTTTGTCTTGGTTGCTGGCGAGACCCCTCTGCAACAAGGTGAACCACTTTTTGTGGGTCCAATTCCAGAAAATCCAACAAGTTCCCCCCGACACTGATGTCCAGGGTCCAAAGCTCGATTGGTCGACACATAACCTATTGGCAATTCCCACTTGTGGAACTGGGTTGCAGCCACTGTCTAAGGTTGGAAGTACATGCTCCTTGTTGATTCATACCCCTTGGCTTCCCTGGTTTCCAACCCACTTTAAAAGGGGTATATGGTTCTTTTGACGAGTATGAACATCAGCAAGCCTTTTAGGTTCATTTGCCCAAGTATGTGAAAAGGGTATGTATAACCCCGGGAGACTGAAGTTCCCCTAGGCCTTTCGAGCTTTTGGTTCTGAAACTTTTCGGCAAAGAGATGCTTTTGGTGGGAAGTCTCCGATCCCCCACGAGAGAGGATCAGCCCCCCACCCCAATTCCTGAAAAATCAGGGGTATTGGAGAGCTTTCGTCTAGGGTTCCCTACGTTCCTTGCGGAGGCTTTGGGGAACCATGAGAAACCCAACCCCCCCCCTCCCCCCCTACAAATCCCACACCTTCCATTTGCGAATACGTCCCCTGGAAAACATAAACACATTTCCAGTGGTGATAGATTCCATTTAAAACCAACCGGGGGAACAAAAACATCTTCTAGGTCCGCCAGTAGAGAGGATAGAATAAGAGTACCCTTTTTTCTGTAGTCAATTCTAGTAGGGGAACCCTCCCCCCAAAAAAGGGTAAAAGGGCACCTAGCTGGGGGACCTAGTCTTAAGCTAGCGGAGGATGATAAATCAAGCGCAAACATGGGGTAAGTGTGAGCGGAACATTCCGCGCCTACGAGGGCCATGTCCGACAACTCGTGAATGGACATCGCCTGAACCACAAACGTAAAACACATCAGAACTCACAACTCAATCGATTTCATGTAAACAAAAAAAAACTAAAAAACTACAAAACAACAAACACCGGCACATTTGAAACTCGATCAATTTCATAAGGAATCCCCAGAAAATCGAAACACATTTGTGCCAGGAGAGGCCCAATTTGCGCCCCGGAGAGTTAAACCATATCTCTGGAAAAGGATTACGCGCTTGTCCGTGGCTTCTTGAAGTTCCACCTGCTGAATGGACTATTCATTCAGTGAGTTTAGCTGTGATAGCATTCTGCAAGCCCAACTGCTGCGCAATGGTCAACCTCGAATCTGCACGGGTTCATGGATCTGCTCTATCCTTTGAGTACCCCACACAGCCGCCCAAAGAATGCGTTCGTCTTTGTGTCAACAATTACCCAGCCCTCCCTCAACAAAGACTAAGGGGTCCTCAGGACTTTGTTTTCTCGTTCCTGTTCTGTCCCAGTAAAAACCATGAGATGCGGATCTTTCCGCATGCAGGAGAATCCATTTGAGTCCACACCCCGACAGGGGCGCCTGGCAAATCAAAGTCACAACCACAGTGCAAAATGATATGGCTGTAGGTCAAACCCTGTACCCCTGGTGAACGTCAAAATAGGTGGCAAGTGGATGTTCATCCGCCCCAAAATGCAGCCATAGGCTATGCCCCATGGCCATATGGCAACCAATCAGCTTATTCTGAGTTTGGTTAGGTGGCTTGGAGCGGAAGTACCTTCTCCATGCTTCCACTTCACCGACTAAGGGTGACCTGAACCAAGGGTCGACAACCCCACCTTTTCAGAAAAGCCAAAGAACCATTTCTCCACTTTCTCCAATGAGCTGCCCAAGCCTCCCACACACCCACTAAATTTCCAACAAAACAGCGATTTTTGGTAGACGGTTTTTTAGGCCCCCCCTCAAGCAAAAAAAGGAAGTTGAAACAAGGGCACAGGTGTCTGGGGTCTTCAAATAGCAACATGGAACTGCTGTTTGATTGACCCCTCCCAAAAAATGCCTCAGGGACGCTCATGCTCAAACGGCAACATGGCTACGAACTACGTATTCTGCTTCTGAATATGGTCCCTCGGACATGACTGGTAACAAAAACAAAACACATATTCCTGATGTCCACCAACGGGCCGCTACTAGGGGGCATGGAACTTTCAAAGCAATTTAGCACCCAGGCACAGTTCAAATCCAAATGGAGTATGTGCAAAGTTTGTTTGCTTTTATGACCCTCCAAATGGTTTTTGTTTTTCACGTCTCACTCACTTCGGGGATTGGCCGAAGTGTGAACTCTTTGCCACGAATGCTGACCCCACATTGTCAACCCCAGATTACTAATATTGGGGTGTTCTCCTCCAAAACTGGTCTGATTCCCCACCAAACCCAGGGAAGTCCTCCTACACCCAGGCATAAACCCCTGGCTTTCGTGGGGATTCATCACTTTGGAGGGGAACAACTCCCCTATTCATAAAAAATATATGTTAAAATTCATATGGCCAGCATCAAGTCCAGCAACTCACGGTTTCCAGTTGCTTCTTCACCCTTTGTCAAAATGAGAACATATGGCTATGAATTTTTTTAAGGGTCTGTAACGCGCGACGCGCCACGAATCTTGTTACGGAGGTCTGTAACGGATGTCCTTGTTACGCAGGTCTGTAACGGGACAAAACATTTCCTGACAAGAAGTATCAGTAGCACGATGTAGCGCAGCACAACGAAGTATGTAATGGCCATGTAACGAGGTCTGTAACAAGGCAAAGCAAAGCGCAGGACGCAAAGCGCGCCTCCGCAGCTCCAGCTTGATTGCAGCTACTCAACGCAAGCCAAGCTGCGGCAAAAAGCGGGGTTGCTGGCCCGGGCTGGGGGTTGGGTCTGCAACGAGGTATGTAACGGCTATGTAACGAGGTCTGTAACGAGGCAAAGCGAAGCGCAGTACGCAAAGCGCGCCTCCGCAGGACCAGCTTGCTTGCAGCTACTCAACGCAAGCCAAGCTGCGGCAAAACGGGGGTCGCTGGCCCGGGCTGGGGCTGGGTCTGTAACGAGGTATGTAACGGCTATGTAACGAGGTCTGTAACGAGGCAAAGCAAAGCGCAGCACGCAAAGCACGCCTCCGTAACTCTATTCAACGCAAGCCAAGCTGCGGCAATGGCCCGGGCTGGGGTTGGGTCTGCAACGAGGTATGTAACGGCTATGAAACAAGGTCTGTAACAAGGCAAAGCAAAGCACTTGATTGCAGCTATTCAACGCAAGCCAAGCTGCGGCAAAAGGAGGGCAGTCACGTCACTGGCCCGGTTTGCTCATCTGAGGTGTGTAACGAGGGCGTGTAACGAGGGGTGTGTAACGAGCCAGCTGGTTTTGTTACAGAGGTCTGTAACGAGGTCTGTAACGAATGTCCGCCGCGGCTCTGTTACAGACCCCTCAAAAAAATTCACTGCCATATGTCCAGTGAAATCGGCTCCGTTTAAAACCAAGGGACAAATCACACATCTTTGTTTCGGAAGATGGAAGCATGGCTGTTGGAATAAGTTGGTACCCGATTGTTTTTCTGTAGTCGATGTTAGTAGGTTGGAACCCTCCCAACCAAAAAAGGGTAAGAAAGGGCAGCTAGCTGGGGGACCTAGATGGAGTGGACTCAGTCACCCGGAAACCCCAACGCACCGCAGGTCCAGCCGAGCCGCCGCTCTCGCCATCTTGTTTCGCCGAGTCCCTGGAGAGTCGGGTGGTATGGCGTGGTGCGATCTCAATAAACTGGGGTTGATTAATATGGCTATGAAGTTTAGTGGGAACCCCTCCCAAATTGGGCGGCCCTCATTAAAATTCACCCCCATATGGGGTCAACATTGACACTCATCTAGTCCCTCAGTTGTTCAGTACCCCAAAAAATGAAGAAAACAGGTGCCACCGAACAACTGAGTAATAGGTCGCATGAAAGCCATGGCATCCATAGTTTGACGCATACCCTTGCTGCTGCGGATGGACTTTTTGACCATTTAGATGTGTCTTTTTGGACACCTTTTTTCAGGCTGTTTCAATGGACAACTACGGGACACCTTTCACGTTGCACCTTCTTCTCCACTTCTGACCCATTTAGAGCTGCGGTGCCCCATTTTGAGCCCAATGCATTGGGGGGTGGCGGTTCACCTTGTTTGAACATGCTGAAATCACAGCTGCTTTTGCAATATCTTTTTGGTTCTCTTAGAAGAGTAAAAGTTGGTAGTTTAAGCACGCTTAATTTGCAACCCTCTGGCGTTGGGCCTCCCTATCCATTCCACTCTAGTCATCCCCAGGGAGATGATTGGTTGCGATATGCCATGAATGGAGCTGTGTCAAACTCCATTTCTCGGGTCGTTGGAAGCTTCCACTTTGCCGGCTTCGTGGCCGTCTCAAGTTGAGGGCCCCTGTGTCGTTGGTGCATTGCTGCTTTCGCTCGAAACGGGACGCTCACACCTCACAGCCGGTTGCTCAGGCCAATTCAGTTGCCTCACTGGCTGAGTCCAAACTTTATACTTACCACTAAAATGTGTTAATCAGAAAGTTTAAAGTTCATGAACTTAGGCAGGGCAGTGAGTTGCTACCTTTCCGGTGAAGGACACCCACCAAGACGTCACCCAAAAAACAAAAATCTGCCCAGTGGACGTGGCCCCTATGTTTTATGAACAAGACGGGCGACCACTTCCATTCGCCTTGACGATCTTGGCTTTTGCTCTCAGAGGACTTGGGAATAAAAGGATCTGCGCAAACTTGCCCCGGATGGCCCAGAAATTTAAGGTGATCACCTTCTCTTTTGGGGCCCCTACAACTGGGAACCCAAACAGACACCTTTTAAGGCCAAACTGAGTCAGATCCGGTCGATTCGCTCTGGCAAGTGAGTTTGGGATCTTGGCTTCCCTCCAATCGGTGGTTTGGATTGGTCACCTGATGATGGATCCCTTCAAAACCAACAAGGCCCCCCCTGAAAAAAAAACACATGCAGCTAAGGGTATGGACCCACTGAACTCACCACACACACACTGGGGCTTGTCTTTCTATCACATTGTTAGGATGAAACTCGCAGTTGCCGGCCGGGCTGCGGCTGGTCTTGCTGACGCTGCTGCACTTGCTGCTCTTGCACACGTCCCTGCAAGCAATACGACAGAAACCTCGAGAGCTCCCCAGTTTTAGGGGTACCAGTGGGCTAGGGAAAAGGAACACCATAATTTTGGAGGTGCAAATCCCCCACTTTGACACATACCCATGCTTGTCAAGGGCCCCAATGAGGCCCCCCCCCAAAAAAAAGGAAAAATAAACGACCAAGAGGTCATGAGGACCTTTGGGTCAATATCTGATTCATCCTAAGCCTCATCATTCGCATATGCTTACTGAGCCAACACCCGTTCGAGTTCAACTTCTTCCCTGACTCTTACCCTCTTCCCTTCGCCCATGTGTCAGTTTGTCTACGGTCGTTCAGTGTGCTAAGAAATATTATTGTACAAGAAATGAGACTCTCGCTTGCCCGGAAAGTAGATTTCTCAGAGTCTCGACGTCCCCATAAACCCGCTTTGTTTTGAGGTGACAGGCGTCTGGCGAATGGGACATTTTGAGGAAGAAAGCCCCACCCAAAATCGCCAAAGTAGCCCCAAAATGGCACTTGCCCACCAAAAGCAAACTGTTCAACCACCAATCGGAACCACTGTGGCAGAAGCACAACAACTGGCCGGATGGAAACTCCTCCACCATAGAACCCAATTGACTGATCAGACTGGTTTCCGACTGGCTTCAGACCGCTTATTTGGCAACTAAGTAAGCAGAACGAGACAAAGCTATGATGACCAGCAAATTTACCTTCCAGACTCTCGGCAAAACCTCAGATTTCTTAAGCCCACCGTGGGGCTGAGAAATTTGTGAGACTCTCGACAGCCAAAAGGGATTTCTTATCATATAGGTGTCAGGTCTCTTGTGGTTGAAATCCCCAGAAGTTCAAACGTCGTCTCTACTCGGGATTTCAGTACGCGGCTAACCGGACCAGTAGCTGGAGTGTGAAGCGACGGCAGACATATCTGGAGGACTGCCCAGCTGAATCCTCTTCAAACCAAGAGAGGAATTGCCTCATCACGACTTCCCCCCCCAAGTGCCGGCGGGGCAACTGAGTCTCAACTAAGATCGACTCAACCTCCTCCCACCATGACTTGCGACCCCTCTTCCCGCCAGCATGGAAGTGCACAAACCCCATTTGCAAGATGCTTTGCTTTTGGAAAGGGGGTGCGTACAGTATGTTTGGTGGAAGGCCACAACGTTGAAAAGTTGTTTTGGCCCGTGGCCCATACAATCCGCCTCTTGCTGTCGTTTTCCCAGATTCGTCGAGCCAGGAAAGTGTACAGGAACTGCTTGTGGGTGCCAATGCGCTCTTGGGCTTGGCTTTGGACACTTCCTTTCCAAGACCATAGTCTATTCCCCAGAGGCTCCCGATTGATTTAGGGCTGGTTGTGAGACCCCCAGCCACCTCCGGGGTGTCAAATGGAGGGCTCGGGTCCATGGAAAGCCGAAGCCGATCGGAGCCCCTGGGGAAGGTCAAAAACCGCTTTCTGCCCGCCACAGGTTTTCTCAACTCTCTCCAAACTCCCTGGAGCTGAATGCAGGCAAGACACAGGCCGCGCTTCCTTAAAGCGAAATCGCCTTCTCGAGTTCCTTTTGTCATATGCCCCCCAACTGGTTTGGATTGGTTAGGTGTTTTTCTGGTGTTTCCCATTTACTACCACTCATCTTGCAACCAAAGGACCCAGAAATCAAAGGTGGTCATGTGGGCCCACAAAAAAGGGAAGCCAAACTGGGAAAACAAAAGGTCCGATCTGGTCGATTCGCTTTGGAGAAGCGAGACAAGAACCCAGAAGGTCACATGCAAACCAATCCAAACCGGATTCTGAGCACCAACCAGTGTTCGACCAAAGTCACCCATGTCCGCTCAGGGTAAAGGAAACCAACCCCATCTTCCATTTGCTTAAGTCCACTGGACAAGATAAAGCATATTTGCAGTAGTGATACATTACTTTTAAAACCAACAGGGGAAAATAACAAAACACTATTCAGCAAATGGAAGCCTTTTTCTGACTTTGAGCACCAGAAACTTTCAAGAGGATATGTTCGGCGCCTGAAAGGAGAAGAGGCATTTGGATTAATTAGTTCAGAAGCACTCTCCCAAAAATAATCCGCCAAGTTGGTCAAGCCGGGGTCGACATTCTGTGGTTCTCCCCAAAGTCTGTGTGGATTGCGTCCTAGGCTCACACAAACGCCTTTTGTACCTGCTCTCCTTTGTTGACCCGAACATGATGCAGCGCGAGCGTCAACTTGCCGAAACATTCGCGACGAAATCCCGGCTGCCCGAATCGACCCATAGGGACAACCGAAGTGGGGTTCCCATCCCCGTCACTACTTTTCTGCGCGAACTTGATGGCTGCTAATACCCCTGCCAATCAAACAAATAACTTGTTGCATGTTAGTGGGGGAAATCATCATGTTCATCATGCTTAAAGGAAAACGAGTTGAACCTCCAACCCAAAAGCATTCAAGCTACAGCCAGCAATTTTCCGCGAGGGGCCCCATTGTGACCGACACAGGAAAAGCGTCGGCTTGGGGAGCCTTCATGAAGCCGACAGATCCCCAAACTGGGCTGTCCGTTTTCAGATCCCCTGCTAAAAAGTGAGCTTAACTTTAGGTTAAATTCGGAAACCTAACCTCTAAACCAACTAAAAAAGTAAACAAAACCTAAGGAACCGGATGGAAACAAAGTCAGACATGGAATTCCGTCCTGCCAACCTGTCTGAATTTCCAGGAATTCCGTCCTGTTCCTTACAGTAATTAATTGCGTGATTTGCTCTTCCTGTTCTCCATAGTGACATTTGTCAGAAAGATGGCCGGCATTCTTCTTAGGCCAACGGACGAGCACCCTCGTTTCTCTGCACGGCTTCAACGGGCCCCACTGTCCCAAGCCAACGAAGACACCGAACCACCCCGAGGGGTTCCGGAACCCCACGCCGATTCCAGCCGATTCCACAGGCGGTGCCACCACTGCGCCGAACACTCAAAACCCACACTCCCCGCGAATGAATTTCTTTGGTGCTCAGTAGGGAATGCGGGAATGAAACCAGCTTTGGTCCCCTTAAAGGATATTGTGTATTCAAAGGGTTGGGTTACAGGAAATTCTACAGGAAAATAGCTTATTTGGGGTTTTTTGGGGTCGTCCTGCAGTTTATCCCTCAATCACACCTTGTTATTCATTTGTAGGAGTTACTTGTTTTGATTTGTAGGAGTCATTCCATTCCCTCCTTAGCTTCCCGATCCGCAATCGGTTGCCAGGACACGTGTCCTGCGAGTCCATTAACTCGCCGGAGATGGGCTCGTTCCCAGTCTGCGCCGGACGAGCCGAATCAGCGGTTTGCTTGAATCATGTTTTTTGTTGTTTTCCCTTTGCAAAAGAGAGGGGTTCAAATCATTTCAAATCTTTTCAAATCCAATCCAAAGCAACTAAGGGTTACCTGAGACATGCGTCTGTCTGTTGAGGGAGCCCGTTTTGGTGTGAGAGCCAAAAGGAAACTCATTTTTGGGGCTCCCCTATGTTGACACAAACCCACGTCCTGAACCAGCTGATCTTCCAAGGTTGACTCCATTTGAAACCGTGCTTTCAAGAAGGACGCTGATTTTTCAGGGTCCCAAGGGAAGACCAAGGGGGTCTTTAACGCATACGGCTGTAAATTCTACAAATCCCAACCAGAGATCAACAAATTCTTGGATCTTAAGGGGCTAAAACCCCGATCAAACATGGTCAGAAGCCCAGTAACGGGTTGACGAAAAAGGCACCCAGCATGATACCAACCTCGGAATTCTCCCATTTGATATGTCCTACACAAAGCTTGCTGGCGGGATAGGCAGGGAATGAACGAGTCAGGATGTTGGGAATGAACCGTTTGGGGGATTCACTTGAAGGACACTATAGGGATGGTGAACCTCAGCGGGAGATGTCGACGATCCTCACTTGCTCACGTCCAATCGAGTGGATCAAAGAAGAGTCAACCATCCACATTGTGTTTGCCACTATGGTCCCAAGCCCCCAAAACAGAAAGAGTCGTTGAACTCAGGGAGTGAGTTCAGAAAAGGAAAACCAGTGAAGCCCATGAAAAGTCAGCCCCCTCACAGATTCGCCTGGTTCGCATGGATCTCGTCACATGCAGCTTCAGAGATTCTCGGGAGTACCTGCCTCTGGTGAAACAGCCAAGGACTGGAAAAAGTCGAGGGGAAGCTTCCCCATTCTTCCCAGGAACCCTTCAGGGAACCATCAACAACCCAGGGGAAACAGCTGGTTTTGCAAAAGCACGATGGTTGAAAGTAATGGGGAGTCAAGTCCTAGAAAAAGGGAGTCTTCAGCCAGAAGCCACTCACTGAGATAGAACACATGCAACCAACAAAAAACCATCAGGTTCATAATGCCGATGTTTGCTTCCCAAGAAAAGGCGTAAAACAATGGTTGCAATGCGGGCCACTAAGGAGTGCATAGCGCAAGCTTTGACAACATGCAACACCCCGGCCTTCAATCCGAGAGCGGGTTGTGACTTCTTTTGGCTTTAGGGGAACCCCAGCACCCAGCCCAGCTGCCATGGGTACAAACAAATGGCGCCATTTTGTTGGTAACTGGTTTTAACAGGAAACTCTTGGCAACGAAAAGTTGAACTCTAGGCTGGAGCTGGACTTCTTGCATAAAGCCAAGGGCCTACACATGGCGATCCAAATGCGGGTGGCATCGTGGGGTACCAAAAACTCGGCAAAAACAAAACGAGTCCAGCCCCTACCAGGCTGTGGCTCAAAAAAGGTGGTACTGACCTTTGGGGCCCTTGGAACGAACACCAAACCGGCGTAACCCCAGCTCAACTTTGAGCACCACACAAATGCTGAATACTATGTCTAGGTCCTCCAGTAGAGAGGTTAGAAGAAGTTGGTACCAACTCTTTTCTGTTGTCTATTTTAGTAGGTTGGAACCCGCCCCAAAAAGACACGGTAAAAGTTGGCACCAATTGCTAGGGAACCTAGACTTGAAGTTTTATCAGAAGTGAGAGAAGGACGGCCCGGCCGAGCCGGGCCAGCATGCCGACGGCCTGCTCGGAGTTGCTTATGCTGGACGGCATCTGATCGAGAAGAAACATGTGTCTGGGTGGAAAAACATTGGTGTGTCTTAGGGGGGACGGGGGGGAGGGGGGGAGGGGGAGGTCGGGGACGGGGGTAGGTGGCACTCCTTCGTTTTTTGTTTTTTTTTTGTAGGGAAAACAGGAAAACCGCAGCCATCTTGGTTTTAAAAACAGGAGCTGCCAGGAGCTCACAACTCAAAATTTGTGCCCATGAATCCTTTAACCTAAATGTTGAAAGGGTCCAAAAATTCAACATGTGGGGATTCATCAAAAGGTCCTTTATGATACATGGGATGACCATTGAAGAAAAGCCACTACAAAGATACTAAGTCCCTTTTAAGTGGGAACAGTTACCCATGTTTCTAGGGGTTGATTCCTCATTATGTTCAACCATCGTTCTTTTCAAAAACCGGCTGTTTCCCCTGGGTTTTGATGGTTTCCTGAAAAGAAGGATCCCTGGAAAGGATGGAGAAGGTTCATTTGGGGGCCGAACGGAATCTTGATCAACGGCCATGTGAGGTGTGCTATTTGCCTATGGTCTTGGGGTTGTCTCAGCGGGGCCAAACGCTCAAAAGGGGCCGCACGAGTGGACACTGCAAACACAGATTGGTTGAAAGCCATGAACACACACACACACACATACAGGGGGAAAAACACAACAACATGCAAACAACATGGTAAACACATTGAAACACATGGTAACACTGGGGCAATCTATGGCAAGTAGGTATAAACCCTGGTGATCATCCACATTTCGGACCTCTGATTTGGGTATGGTCGCCAAGGAGAACTCGTATAACTTGGTGAGGAGGCGCCCAGATGCGCCCAGCGGGTTCCGCGCTTTGTTATTCCTTAGTCGTTAAGGGGGGGTGGGGGGGGTGGGGTGGGGGAGGGGTTCTTTTTTTTGCCCGGGGGGGGGCATGGTTTTTTCCGGGCCTGATATATGTTTCCTCGAAACATGAAGTGACAAAGACTACTCTTTTGAGACTGGAATCAAAAAAATCCATGGGCTCCTCTTTTAGTGGTTCCTGATTCCCCTCACAGGGTGCTCTTCGGAAGATCTCCAGTTCTCCCGCTGGAAGGCTGAAATGGTAGCGCGTCGACCCCAATCTTTCACAGGATCCCTTGCAGGGGTTCGATTTTTGCCCGGACCATGAGCAAAAGACATTGATCCGAAAGGAACGGAGGAAGTGAAGACACCCCCCAAACACGGCAACACCGAGACATCCAAGGCATTGAAACACACACACATCCTGGGAATCATGAGGTTCATTGCAAAGTTGGAAGTAAACCTTTGGCAGTGCTAAAAGTCAAAAGGTGTATTCTTTTGAGGGTACTCTCTTGGGGTTGTGTTCAAAAGCATAAGAACATCCCCAAGGCCTTGTGCCTAGGTCCTCCAGTAGAGCGGATAGAATAAGGTTTTTTTCTGTAGTCTATTTTAGTAGGGGAACCCTCCCCTCAAAAAAGAAACGGTAAAAGGGCACCTAGCTGGGGGACCTAGGTGCCAATACCGAAGATTGTAAGCTCCCTCTCTCACAGCGCTGGGTTGCATCTGTGACGGGGGTTTCTTGGTTGCGGTGCAAAGCCGCTGCCACGTCGGGATGAACGTGCCACCGAATCGGGTGCGTTGCGTAACAAGCGGTTGCGCGAGGACCAAAATAGATCTGGACTCGGTTGCTCTCTGCTCCCCTACTAAAAGATTAACTTTTAGTGGTTTAATGGAAAACCCATTAGTTGGCAAAAAGCTAAAGTCCTAACATCCAAGCAAAATGCACCAAAGTGGAAGTTCCTACAATTCCGAAACGTGAATTAAGATTTTGCACGGTAAGTCAAAGACCGACATCATCGAGCCTCGTCCAGGTTTATGCTTGCAATCATCCCCTGACCAGCGGCAGGGTTCTTAGAACCTTCTTGGGACCCAGCACGCGCAGAAAAAAACACCTGAATCAAGGGATCCCCAAGCAAAGAACCTTTACCATGGTGAGCTTGCTATACTCCCAGAGCTCGCCGTAAAATTGGCAGAATGTGTCAAAAACTTCCAACATTGTGCTTTTCCTGCTTCCCTGGCGAAAAGGGTAGCCTCAACACAAAGACACACAGACATGCATTCGGAGACTTGGAGACTTGGGCGCCGGAAGACAACACTCTCAAAGCGATCAACATTTTGGGCAAGCCCCCGTTTTCTAAACAAACAGCTTCTAGGGATGGCCAGATTTCCTTGCATGTCCCAACGCATCAAACAGAAACTAATTCTGAATCGCCATACTCCCAAGATACGTTTTGGCCTTCGGGTCTTTGGAGAAATCTTTGAAAGGGCGTCAAGGGTCATTGCCAACCCTTGTGGTTGTGTCAATGGGTGCCCGTTGTTGCTTAGATTTATTGAGCGGAAATATTCGAAATGCACAAGGGGACCCATCTGGCCAAGCTGAAGTGACTGGACTGGGTGCCTCGTTTTCTTGAGGGTGGCGGACAGTCGTGCGAGAAGAACCACGTAACCTTGGGCCGTTAAGGTGGCAAACGTACATGAACAAGAATTACACGGCACTGGACAAAAACTGAATCCGGTTTGGCTCCATCTCCCAAGTAGACCTTGAACCTTCACCCGCGGCTTTGAAGCCACACCAGACATGCTCCAGTTGGGTTCAACTCCCAGTTCTCACTCCCTAATGCCTCTTCCTGCAAGGGAGAACTCACTTCCCCAGTCTCAGTTGTTCAGTGACCCTGGAGCAAAAAAGTAAGCCTTTTTGGGGAAGACCGTTTTTAGTGGGGCAGCCACCAACAGAAAGGGAAAAAGGGTGGCACTGAACAACTGAGCAGTGGATTGGCCGAACAAAGTCCACACTTCTCTGGGCTGTCCGTTTCAGATCCGCCAAATGGTGAGTTTAACTTGCGGCTTAAGCTCTGAAACCCAACCACTAAACCAACTCAAACCGACTCCGCCAATAAATTTGGTTTGCCACTGGAATGGTCCAAAACCAGGCGAGCGAGGTTCTGAAGCACCGGAGGAATCATGACATGACCATAGGTTTCCTTTTGGGAAAATTGATGGCCCTGGTAGATTGTGAAACAACCAGGTCAGCCAGGAATCGCCATCACAACTTCTAGCAAAACAACAACATGACCGACTGTGTCCTTTGATTCGATTTCTTGGGCATTCAGCACTGTTCCACACAACTCTGGCCCTGCCATCCATGCTTGAGCTCATTCCCGAACCTAAGGGAAATGCGAACCTGATGTCTTCAGGGCCTAACCCCCCAGCATTTGCCACCATGAGTGGTAATGATTCCTGAAGAGAGTCCTGGTTGAACAACATATCACTCTTGGATCAAGGTGGTTAAAGGTCCTTGCCAGGGAACCTGCGGCAGTGGTTTTGGGACATGCCGGGGACATCACCATTTCGAAGTGATACCAATAGTCATTCCAATGACTTTCTTACTCAAAGGGCATTCCCGTATTAACCCCATCCAACAGCCATGTCCCGCTCTCAGTAAGAAAGGCCTAAACCCACCCCTGACTAAACCAGCCCTGAGCAAACTCCCACCGACTTAGAGCCAACACAACGAAGACAGGCAAAGACACGCAGCTTGGCTCCGACACAGAGAGCAGGGTGTCTAGGGTTCCTACACTCCGGGCATCCGCTAGCTACACTTCGTGCCAACCTCAAATTTTAAAACTCTGCTTTCCACGCAACCCAATCCGTAGAAGAGCCTCTGGGCTCTTCAAACAAAACAAGTAGACCCACAGGGCTGATAAATCAGCTCCCGTTTAGGGAGCAAATGGGAGCTTCCAAAAGAGCTGGAATTTTCTGAAAATGGGTGTGGCTCAAAATCAAGAACCCAGTAAACTGCAGTTTTGATTGTTTCTTCGGCACACATCCGGGGTACTCCGAAAATAGTGTTTTCTAACTCTCATTCACATATCGACCCTGCAATGCAACAGTTTGGAGGAGACCCCAGAAAACAGGGGACCCCAAAAGAACTGGTTTTCCTTGTGGCTTCCCTTTTAAACCAACCTGAAAGTGCACCAAATGAGGCCCTTCGTGGTTGGCAACCTTCTTGCTGGTTTGCGGCATTATCGATCACCCCAGACCTCATTTGGATGCCGTTTTTGAGGACTTGTTTTTGTTCTTGGAGGGGAAATGGAAAACCCGCCTGTGTTTGGGGTGCCCCAACTAGGTCCTCCAGTAGAGAGGTTAGAATAAGGGTACCCGTTTTTTTTTTTTTTTTTTTTTTTTTTTTTTCTGTAGTCTATTTTAGTAGGGGAACCCTCCCAACCAAAAAAGAAGCGGTAACAGTTGGCACCTAGCTGGGGGACCCAGACATGGAAAACCCACCCATGTTCGGGGTCCCCTAACCCAGTTGTTCACTGACCCTGGAGCAAAAAAAGGGAACCCTTTTTGGGGAAGACCCTTTTTGGTGGGGCCACCCCAAAAAAAAAACAAGAGGAAAGCTCACCGGTGCCACTGAACAACTGAGCTAAGTAACAACACAGCCTGCTCGTCCAAGCCGTCCAAACCATCCCACGCTCCTCGGGGATGGCCGGGAAGCAGGCGCTGAGGCTGCTGTTGCTCCGCAGCGGCTGCTTGCGAGCAGGGCCTCAGGCTGTTGGATCTTGGATTCCGCGGATTCCTAGGGGCTGATTCCTTGGCGTTTTTCTTTTTCTTTTTTTCCTGGTTATAAGGGGAAAAAGCTCACACCTCAAAAATTGTGACCGTGAATCCCTGAACCTAAATGTCCAAAGGGTCTAAGTATTCAACGTGTGGGGATTCATCACGAGGTTCCTTGCGATACATGGGGTGACCATTGGGGGAAAGCCCTTACAAAGATGGTACATCCCTTTTACGTTGGAACAGTTACCCATGTTTCTAGGGGTTGATTCCCTTTCCAGTAATTTCAACCATCCTTCTTTTCAAAAAAAAAGAGCACCGCCATTTCCCCAGGGTGGTTGCTGGTTTTCTAGAAAGAAGGATCCCTGGAAAGAATAGAAATGCAAGTTACCCCAAGAGTATTGGACTTGTATTGGACAGTGGATCCCCTAAAACGCTCAGATTTTAAGGAACTTTTCAGTAGAAACTCAAGGGACAGTCGTTGTGAAATTAACTTGGAATGTTTTTTTGGTTTGAGAACAGCAGCCCTTTTGAGTGTGTGTGAATAGCAACTTAGACGCATGAAAAAAACACAAAAACAACATGCTTAGGATGCAACTTTTGAGTAGCAACTTAGAATTGCACAGGCAAGGGGATTGTTTCTGTTGGACACATAGCTTGGAAACTTCTTGTTTCAACACATTATGGAGGGGGTCCCTAATAAGCACATGTTGAGAGCTTGCTGGAAAGCATGTGTGGTCTCAGGAGTGTAGTATGGGTTTAGTATTGGCTAGTTCAAAATTAGTATTTGCGATTTTTGGCGCGGCTGAGGGGAGTTTTATTATTAGGGGCAGGTTGATTAATCAGAATAATCTGAGGGTTTTTGTATTACACCCTGGCCACCCTGGGAATACACCCTTGGGAAATGACCCAGAACGGTTCAAAATAACACGGTTTTATCCGAATATGCGCCTAAATGGGGTCAATACCCAGTGGGTGTATTCCCAGGGTGTAATACAAAAACCCTTAGAAAGAAGGGATTCAAACCGAACAAACACTTTGTGGCACCCTCCAAAAAAGACATACCTGGGCTGTCCGTTTTCTGATCCCCTGCTAAAAGTGAGTTTAACTTTTAGTGGGTTAGCAAATAGGAATCCCAACCAAACATAGCAGGAGCAAAGCGATCTGCATACATGATTGTTCCATGATGAGATAACAATCTCCGTGGCGAGTTGGTGACGGATCTTTGAACTTCTTTGCTTGAAACAGCCTGGATGTTTCCGGATACCAACCAACAAAGAATCGCTGGTTCCGACCCGCTTGTCCAGTTTGGGCGCCGTGTTTTTCCTCTTTGTTTTTCGGTTTTCTGGGGAGACCTCCCCTCCCCCCGGGACCCCGGGACCCCGCGAACTCGCCTGCGGGCGCCCAGCGAGGCAAGGGCATGACCTCCTCCTTGGGCGCCTGAGAGCTTCCTTCCCCACACCCCGGGGCGATTTCGAGGGGCAGTCCCAAAACCCGAGCAATGCTTAGGGTCATTTGAGTCCTTCCCAAGACTTTTGGTGCGCCCCAACACCCGTGCGCTTTTCTGGCTGAAATTCTGCGGAAGATCAAGCAGGTACGCGGGTCAAAGAAACCACTCTTCGACAAACAAGAGAAAGCTCCTGAGGGTTCCTTCACTGGCAGGTTGGTTCTCTTGACTGTGAGAAAAAGAAGACAAAAAACGAAGAATCGCCCACCGACTGATTGGGGTTACCATGCGAAGCGTAAGTGGGCGTCACCACGACTACATTCGCAGCTGGTTCTCATGACAGGGTTCCCTTCCGCTTCCTTTGATCCCAGAGGTCAGGATAGGCCATGTGAAACATGTGAAAAACTCGAGTGAAACATCAAGTTGACTTGCGCAAAAGTAAATAAATGATTGGGCTGCCAGGTGTCACTAAGCTTCCGGCTAGTTGGTGGCTTGGCTTGGTGGATTAAGGATGTTTCCCTTTGTGGCTTCAAAAGGAGGGGCTCAACCCCCAAACCACCAATCCAAACCACCAATTAACCGGTGAAACTATCTGGGGGCTCAAAACAGGGCACCCAAAGCGCTCCAATCACCCCTTCCAGCCTGTGCGCTGGGCGTCGATGTTCGGGAAAGCACGCTGTTTGAGGGTGTTCTTGTTGAAGACTAGTTGTTGTTGTTTTTCCAAGGCACATACCTCTTTGCTTGCTGAGTTACTCGAAGGTAGACAAATCATACCCTCCAACTAGGGCAACCTCGGGAACCTCGGAATAGTTGATTTCGACCGCTTTTCTCCTACATCAAGAGGAGAGAGTGTTGGGGGATTTGGTGCCCCAATCAACTATTTCTCTAGTCTTCCAAGCAAAATAAGAACATGGGTTGAATTTCAGCAGCTGCCTTCCCCCACTAAAGAATGCTTTAAGGTGAGGGAGGGCGGTAGGCTCCGTGGCTTGGCACTTCCTTAAAGGAAGCCCCCTCCCCAACTCTCTAGGGGTTGATTCCTTTTCCATTCTTTTCCACCCTCGTTCTTTCCAAAAACCGGATCGGTTTTCCCTGATTTCCGGAGGTTTTCTAGAAAGATCCGTATCCCTGGTCCGAATGGACATGGAAGGTACCCCCCAGAAACTCAGCCGGTTTCATGCGATTGGGACGCGTCGACCTTTCCTCCAGGTCTCGCACGTTCGGCCGCGGCCTCGCTGGAGCCGGCCCAGATTTTCGCCCGCAGCGCGATGCAAAAGGGCGACCCGGCGAGGCACTGCCCGTGCTCTGCTCGCAGAACCGCACTGCGTTGCTCAAGTACAGGAACAGCCGGCAGACTGGGAGCGCCTCGTCCTTGTTGTATCTCTTCGGCTCCAGCTTTGTGCTCGCGTGGTAGAAGAATTCAATGTCTCCCTTGCCGCTTCTGAGTTGGTGTCGCAACGCCTCCCTAAGCTCCACCTCTTCAAATAAGATCCTATCTTAGCCAAGTGCCTTTGTACAGACTTCTATAAACAGTCAGTTACAGTTGGGACCAAAACTGCCGGCGCTTCGCCGTGCCTTCTTCCGGGCTTCGGACACCAAAGACTTCGTCGAGGGGCCGCGTTTCCCGAGGTCGCGAGAGTTCAGTTCGCGCCTGCGGCCTGGCCTGACGCAAGGTCTGCAGCACTTCATATATGATGAGCGGCCGGGCCCTGAGCCACGGATCGATCGGTGCGATTGGGAAGGACCGCGTCCGGGCTTCTTGGGAATGAACCGGGGTCATTCCCTCATCTGCTGAGAACCAGCAAGTTGAATGTGTGTTTGAGGGCATTCTGGAGGTGGTGTTGGGAAAACAAAAGGAAAGCCACCATTTTGGGCCTCCTTTGGCACATACCCATCCCGAGTGGTTCTCTAGGTTACCCTTTTCAGGGCGCGGATGTGCCATGGTTTGAGCAAACTGGATGCTTTGTGTCTAGAGACTGGGTCTAAGTCTTGGGATAATCCTGCGCAATTGAAGCCTGAGGTGTTGGTTTTAGTTGCAAAACGGAAATGCCACGGTGACCTTTTGATTGTTGAAACAATCCCAACGCGTATCCCACAACCCCCAACACAACTCAGAGCCCGCAAATAGCCTGAACCAACCGAAAGGAAAGACATTTTCGGCGGCTCCGAATCCTTTGTCGCTTGCTTGGCATTCCAAGATAAAACTGGAAACACTTTTGCGAAAACAAAATATTTGCCTCACCAATATTCTCGGTAGAACGGCTTTGTGAAGCAATGAAGCCACAATATCGTCAAACATGGGCGCACACTTCACTTCAAAAGGTCTTTGACTTGTGACTATCTACTACCCCCCCGATGGAACTGGGTGCATCCGGTTAAACTTGATGTGGGTGCATCCCATCCCAAAGAAAATCAGAGAGCGGCTCCCCTTTACTTGCCCCACTCTGAGTACACCGAAGGACATGTTTTATGCGTTTGTCTGATTTTAGTCAACCTTTACATCTTTAATATATTCTGAGTAGACCTGATCTTGACACCCCAAAAAGTGCTTTTGAGAGCCTAGAAATGTCCAAAGATTGGCCAAAGAGCGCATCTCTGAATTTGGGGACCGCTGTGGGCCTTGCAAAGGGAACGCCGGAATCTTAGGCAGCCAAAAGCAATGCATCACGAAACAGTGGCCGAGTTTGGTGCACCAAAAACCTCCCGCCAAGTTACAAGCTGTCATTGTGCACCAAGAAAATGCAACTTTAAACGTTGAAACACGAAGCTATTTGGACACGTCCGGGTCCAGCAAACAACTCCCGGGTCCCCTTCACCAACTTCAAAGTGCATCGAGCAGAAACCGTGCCACTGTATCAAAAATTTGACACCATGAACTATGACTTTACTATGGCAACCGTTCGCAACTTGTGGAGCATCGATATCTCCATAGCTTCAACTACAGCCGGTTGATACTGTTGGGAAGGTGTTCATTCAAGAGCCCCGAGTTGCTTTTGAAATCAGCGTGTCAAAGTGCAGTGAGTCACATCTAAATTATGCTAGTCTTTTCTGTCAAAAGAGACGCCCTCTGCACCAAGCAACCTCCCCGCCAAGGTGTCCTGTTTGCTGAGGCAGAGAAGCACGTGGCAAGATTGGCTGCAGGAACCCCTCCCATTTACTCCTCTCGGTCCTGGTAAAATGGACAACTCCAAACCTCATGTGCCCCACCCAACATGGTTTTTGGTCTTCCTGTAGGTTTCCCCCTGTAAAAACCGACAACCAGTGGGTACCCTCAAACAAAAAGAGCAAGCAACAATGTGCGAAGTTCGTCCATTTGTGCCCGAGTTGCCGTTCCAGTTGGATCGAGACCTGACTCGAGTCGTCAGTCGTCCCGAATGAGTCAAGGCAGCTGCACCGATTTCTGGTTGGGATTCTCCCTTCCAATTTTTGATTCGGGTCTTGACTGTGTCTCAAATGAGTCGGATGTTGGGCTCGATCAAAAGTTGGACCCATCTGTTGAGGAAGTGCCGCAAATTGGAACCGAGATCAACCTGGTCGAGAGGCAACTCTTTGTTGAAGAATTCCCGGTTTGGTTTCCTGCCGAAACTTTGCAAGAGAGCAACTTTTCCTTCAAACTCGATTTGGTATTGAGTTGATTGTTTTGACAAGTTCCATACTTGATGACTGGGTTGGTCTTAGGCCCCTGCAATAACCAGTCTCAACAAAGGAAGCAAAGGCTGCTTTGGTCAAACAAAGCACCACAATCGCGTCTTGTTTTCGCGACGCGAGTCTGTGTGTCTAAGAACAAAAGCCTTATTCCATCTATTGCTTTCCGTGTGACCTGGGGCAACCAATGCTTTCGCTGCAGCCCCCCAACTGGGCAGGCTCCAACCCTCAGAAGGGTTCTTAGAAGGGGGCTGTGGGGCAAGGGCTGAACATTTTCTCCCTGAACAGTGGCCAACGCTTAGTGGCTTGGGATACCGGAAATCCAGGCAAGCATCCGGGAATCGCCGGGTTTCCTTTGACCGAAGCCCATGAAAGATCGCCCGACGAAACACAAAACAGCAAGCCGCCCGCCTTTCCCGGTGAGTGCGGCCTTTCACGCTTCGTTACCTCTTGGGTGGGGCGGCTTCACGCCGGTGTTAAATCAAATCCACCCGCGAAGGTAAAGCTGGCTGACCAATTCCCGCATTCTCAAAATCAATAACCTGGGCTGTTTGACTTTTAGCAGGTTGAATGGAAATCCTCACTAAACCCTAAAAAGCTGAGCAACTTGGCTGGGAGCCACCAAGTAAAATTGATTCTTGGAAAGCAAGCACGACAGCAACCAACCACCAACTAGCAAGAAACAAAAAGAAACAACACGCGCAACCAACCACGTCCTTGCCCGTGCCACGAGAGCATTGCCACAGAAGCATGTGCGGGCACACGTCTCTCAAAAGGCTCTCATGCGCAAGTTGGGTCTCACAGCTGCAACAGTTCTTTTTCCCCACCTCCCTCCACCCCTCAAACCCCACCCCTCAAACCCCACCCCCACCCCCACCCCCCTCACTCCACACCACACCCCCACACCCCTCAACCCCCACCCCCACCCCCACCACCTCCACCCGGCCTGCAGCATCATGGCATCGGCGATGCAGCCGGCGGCCTCGCGCCCAAGCTCCAGGCCTGAGTTCACGACGGCAGCTTTGGGAGTCGTTGAGCTGGGCTGCCCGTTTTCAGATCCCCGGCTAGAAGTGACGAACTTTTAGTGGGTTAAATTCGGAAACTGCCACTAAACACAAGGCGAAAAGGCTAAGAAACCAGATGGCTGGGAGCCACCAAGTTTCAACTGGGCTGTCCGTTTTCAGATCTGAAAGTGAGCTTAACTTTTCAGTTTGGCCCAGAGAGAAACTAGAAGTGTCGAAAACCCACCAGTTTGGCCAGGGGAATCGAACCTTCATTTTTTGGGGGGGCTAAGGTCACCCCTCCAATGCAAACCCTTGGACCCTCTGCAGAACCCCGACCCCTCATGCTCTCTCAAGAACAACCCATTGGGACCCTTAGGGTGGGTGAACTTCGGGGGAATCAAAGGACCGCCTTGACGGACTTCCATATGGCTGTGGGTCAAAAATAGGTACCCAAAACTTGCGGTCCCTTGGTGGTTTAATTATGACCCATACCCATCTAGCCACAAGTCAACATGTTTATGCCCCCGGGCGGATTCCAACCTGGTTGTGCATAGCTTCGCGATGTGGGGTTTCTGGTACCCAAGATGACCTAGTGTTTTCAAGGCTTAGCTAAGCCAAGCAAGCGAACTGCGTGGGGGTCTCCCTACGTGAGTGGCGACTGGTCAGCGGCCGGCGGAGGTGTGGATCCGGGTGCTGTTGCTTGCTCCCGTTGCCTTTGGCTCATGAGCGGTGTTCTTTGGGGAGTCCTCTCTGACGACTCAAAATACGATGGGACGTGGGACATGAGGCCAAGGGGGGGGGGGTGGAAAGTCCTAATTTTCTTCCACAATCAAAAACTTAAACAAACTTAAACATTTAGGTGATACCACACATTTACCCATCTAAAAATGGTCCAATGCCCAGGAACATGGGTCACACCCGACGCAGGTGCTCCCTCTGAATTCTTCAAAAAGAAGCCAGGAAAAAGGTACGTCATGGTGGGTAATTACCGTTTTGGGGTTTTACATGCAGAAGAGGAGCACCCCGTACCCCCAATGGAGCAAGCAGTATATTTGAAAGAATCCCTTGAACTGATCCGTTGTCGAGATTGTTGACACGGAAATTGCAAAACCAGCCAATACCAGCCGTGTTGAAGGCTCTATATTTGTTGTTCTCAGACAAACCCTCCCTTCTGGTTTCCCAGCACAGGGTACACAGGCGGGTCTGCTCAGTGCCACTTCTTGCAACCCAGCCTGACAACCGCAACATCACCCCGCATTTGTCAGGCCACGAAAATGATCAATGTGTAACATGAGCCACCGCCAGCAAAAGACTGCAAAATGACTGGGAATGACAAGCGGTAATCCCAAAGTACCACGAATAACAACAATTGGTCCATCTGTGGCCTTTTTTGGGTTGACAAGCTTGTAATACTTTCAAACAACAACTTACACGTTGCGGTAACACCTTTTTGTTACGGTACACGCTGACCCTTCTCTGTAGCAAGCTGTGGGGAAATCCGCCAAGAACATTTGTCCCAAAGTCCGATGTGAAACAAAGGGGACCCCGCAAATAGCAAAAAAACATCAAAAAGGGAGCGAGCTAGTTCTGGGGAATGTATTTTGTGTGTTGTTTTTTGAGTTGGTACCCCATGTTCTCCCCGTTTTCAAATCAAGACAGGAAAGCGGCGGGGGAAGGGCTCCTCGAAAGACACCCCCAGATTTCCAGCGCTCACCCTTCTTTTCAAGCCACGCGGTGGCCGATCCAGGGGTAAACCAGGATCACGATCTGGCGGAGCCACGAGAGTCTGGGGGTTTTCCACTGAAATCCATGGAGGTTGGCAAATGCTGGGCCCATTTGTACTGTGGACGAAGTCCACTTCGCACCAGTTGGGATGGATGAAACATGAGAACCCCAACTGTGAATTGTCGGGTGGTTTTTTACATGGTTGACCATTTGCTGAGTGGTGCGAAATGGACTTCCACTTGCTTAAGCCCCTGGGAGATCAAACAACACACACACACAGAGCAACACAGATTTCCAGCAGTGATAGATTTCCCTAAAACCATCAATGATAATGAAATAATAAAACATATCAATTCCAGCAAATGGAAGAGTATCAGTCAACCAGCCCTTCCTCTTGCCAGGCGCGACAACTGTCGTATGGCTCTCAGGGTTTGCCTGAACAGAACATGAACTCAGCTTCCCTCAAGGGTGGTAGCCCCGGAAAAAATGGAGTTTCGGGGTGGTTTAAGCCATGGATTCACGAACGCCAGGGCTTCCAATCCCAACGAAGGGTTCCATGCAGCAGCTTCCAGACGAAAAACCCATCCAGGGCGCCTGCCTTACTTGGAGAACCCAACCCCCCCCCCTCCCTCAGCCCCGCCAGGCTCCGTTTGGTTGAGAAACAAAGGCGAACCAACTCTGGGCGTGCCCTTGCCGGCTCTGGGTTTGGGGCAGCTTTCAGGGAGGGTTCCAGGGGGATCCGGGGCGGGGATACCACCGGGGCTTCTTCCAAGTCCTGGAAAACATGGAGGATCCAAATGGCTGTGGGTCAACACCATCGGTACCATTTTGGGGTAGGTGCACCACCCAGTTTAGTCTATTTTAGTGGGAATTGGGATGTCTGGGGGCAAACCGGGGTTTTGACCCATCGCCAAACGATTCTCGAGAATTTCAAGAGCCTCGGATGAGAACGGTTGAACTGACCTGTTGCAGGTGGCTGGCGAGACCCCTCTCCAAAAAGTTCACAACTTTTGCAGGTTCAATTCGGAAAACCCGTGAGTTCCCAAAAGGTGAAGGTTCAACACCTGTGAGTTCTCGTGAATTCCCCAAAAGTGAAAGTCGAAAGATCCGTGGCCCAATGGCAATCAAGCAGAGAGAGATGGCATGCGTCCTTTCTGGAACCATTCGATCCGAGAGTCTCCCCATTTGGCCCATGTCACCCTGAGCGGCCAAGTAATTAGGGTTTCGGCGCCCCAAAGTGGTGTCCTTTTTGGCTTCTGAAAGCAACAAGAAAAGGGAACTAGGTCCTCCAGAGAGGATAGAATAAGTTGGTACCAACTTTTCTCTGTCTATTTTAGTAGGTTGGACCTCTCCCCCACAAGAAAAGAAACGGCAAAAGTGGGCACCCTTTCGCTGGGACCGAGAAAGGGGGGAGTCGACAAAAAAATCCAGCGACCTGCTGGCCCCGGCCGAATCCCGGGAGCCATAGCTTCCAAAATCTTCAACTGCTTCTCCAAGATTCAGAAAAAGAAATAGGGTTGTTGAGACCAAAAGGTCCCGCAATTTATCGGACTGCTTCCTCTTCATGATTCCCCCAATTCCAAACAGTCCCCCGAAAAAGGGATTCCATGCATTTGAATAACCCTCTCGTGGCTTTCTTGATTTGTGGGCTGAACGGCGCGACAAAAAACAGCGCGGAGTCGGAGTGCCTGCTGGTGCTTTGGGGGACCACTCCATTGGAGACATGTTCAGCAGGTCGTGCATGCTGTGCGCGCAAAGGAGATGGATCGGGAGCTAAACCGTTTGTTGCTGACTTTTGACCAAATGAAAGCCGATGGCCGCCAACAATTAGGCAAACAAACCTTGCAAGAGGAAGACTTAGCTATCCGCCAATCCGCAGGGAAACCACTAAGAGGAACCCCAACGAGCTTCGGTAGGGATTAAACTTGAGCTTCTAGACTTCAACCCTTCATCCAATGAGGCTTTGGAACCAAAGACACACGCCCAAAAAAGTCGAGGGCTTCCCCGCGGATTTTGCTCCCTGTTCAAACTTCGAACTTTCGCGCTTTCGCCTTTACCCCATGGGCTCGAGTGAAATGGCGGAATCCGGCGGCATGGGGTTGCGCAAGATGGGCGTCTCTGTTTTCTCCGTGGTTGGACCTCCCAAAATCAGCTTGACGCGGAAACTGGCGGTTTCACATGTCAGTGGTTTGGCGGTTCAGGAGTGGTTTCCCATTTGCCCTCTACAAAAACTAGGGGGTTGGTTGACAAAATGGATTTCGCATTTGATGGTTGGGGCAAAACCAACAAAGGGATAACACCCAAAGGTTGTCTCTCAAAACTATGGATGGTGTCCCTTTTTTACAACAGCACAAAAGAGGGTGGCCTCCAAAAAAATCGCCCATTCATAGTCATGAGTCATGACAGCGACCGTGTTCATTTTGGCAACGCCTGAAACTCATTGAGGCGTGGCACACGTGCCGATGCCACGACTCAAGGCTTAGGCCAATTCAATCACCAAAAACCCAACAAACCAGCGCGCCAGCTCGGCAGCTCGGGCGGGTCTTGCTCATAAGCCAAAACAAAAAAAACGTGCCCTTCCCAAACTTCTAAGGGCACCTTCCGTTTCCATTCTTTCCAAGGATTTGTTTTTCTATTCAGGAAACCATCGACAAAACCCGGGGGAAACGGATCCGGTTGACAAGAACCATGCTTGAAAAGAATGGGGCTAGAAAAAGGAAGTCTCCAACCAGAAGCCACCCACTGAGATAGAACACATGCAACCAAACATACCATCAGTTTAACTGCAAAATCAACTCCTGGGAACATCGGCTCGCTATTTTGTTGGTGACAGTTTCCAATCCAGAATGAGATGGTTCTTTCCTGGGGCGCGACATGGAGCCCTTGAATGAAATGAAAAAGGATTGCCCATATATGGCCATGGGTCAAAATCCCGTACCCCCAGTGAACATCCCAATCTCCACCAAAATAGACTAAAATGGGTGGTGCACCTACCCCAAAATGCTACCATTGGTTTTGACCCACGGACAATTGAGGGAAGAATCAGGGCAGTCCGCTTGCCCAAACCTTTGCTTGCCGAGTTCGGGCTCCATACCAAAACGAATTGCAATGACTCTGGCAGGGTAGACATGCCTGGAAAGGTGACATCAGAGATAGATTAGTTAAAGGCATATTAGGAGGTCGTGGGGGAGATTCAAGAAACTTTGGATGTGAGTGCAGCAGAAACCCTTCACGAACCAAAGCAAACTGTCAGGTGCTCATCTAGGTCCTCCAGTAGAGAGGTTAGAATTAGGGTACCCTTTTTGCCCAACAGCTTTGGGGTCTCAGCCCAGACAAGCTCCGGGGTGGTCCGGGGCGGCCCTGAGGAAAGGTTCCACAGGGTTCCACCAGGGTTCCCCAGGGTTTCACGAGGCTCTGCGAGGGCTGTGGGGTGGTGCGAGCACAAAAAAGAGCACCGCATGTTGTTGGGGATATCACCTGAGCTTATTTCTGTAGTCTATTTTAGTAGGGAGGGTCCCCAAAAAAGGCAAAAGGGCACTGGGGGACCTAGTCATCGTTTCGCCTTTCCCAAAAGATTCCTAGGATTGGCAGCGGACTCCACCTCCACCGGAAACTCATGGAGCCAAATGGATGTGCAGCTTCCCGATGGATGTGAAGAATTCCAGGTTCGGAATGGGTCACTCTGGATCTCTTGCCGAGGTGTCGCGCTACCGCGCCCCTCCCCTGAGCCCACTGTGGCAGAGGGTTGGGGAAGGAAGCTATGAAGCTCTGAAGCTATATTGACCGCACGCATCATACTGCAACTGTCACACCCTTGGGACAAAACATAATCGAAGCTTATAGGCTCATGATTCTTCCTGGGCCATCGACACAAACGATTTTCACCCTTGCGTTGTTCAGTGACCCTGGGAGAAAAAAGGGAACCCTTCTTGGGGCTGGGACCATTTTTAGCGGGGCAGCCACCAAACACAGGGAAACTGGGCGCCACTGAACAACCGAGAGGGGTCGTTGAGAACTCATCATCGGGTCCCTTGAGGTCTCAGGATTTGAGTTGCCAACTCGGCTGTCCAACTTGCAAAACGGACATTCCGGGCGGGGTAGTTACACACATGGGAACACGTTATGCTTTCGTTGGGACGCGGAATTGCGTGACGTTCTTTGGCCAGGCTTGTCTTAAAATGGAGGAACCTCCTTTTTCCAGCAGGTGTTTTTGCTAGTTTCACTTCAAAACAACCCCCGACGACCCACATGGTGAGTTGGCTCGAGCCTGGTCAAGGGAAGATCCCCATCGCAAGGAACCAAATTTGGGTTGGTGTTAATGGGATGTGAAATAGACCCCCCTGCCTGGTGGTTGTCATTGTGGCTTCCTTTTGAACCAACCCAAAAAACAAAACTCAAAAAGACACACCTCCAACACTCTACCATCATACGCATCATATATCCACCCTAAACCCCATATATGACGGGCTTGCAACAACACATGCCCCCAGCACTCGCTCATTCGGCGACGGAAGTCCTCATCTTTGAGCTCCTCCCGCATGTCCACCGTAAAGGTGGGGGCTGAAACCTCGAGCGTCCACATCCAAGGCTCTAGGGATGAATTCCAAAGGGTCGAACTATTCAACATCTGGGGATTCATCACAAGGTCCTTTACGATACATGGGATGACCATTGGAAAGCCATTACAAGGATGGTACATCCCTTTTAAGTGGGAACCCATGTTTCTAGGGATGAATTCCGTCTCCATTCTTTTCAACCATCGTTCTTCTCTCAAAAACCGGATCCATTTCCCCTGGGTGTTTGATGGGCCCAAAGCCTGCGGGGATTCGGAAAATCATTTTTTTTTTTGCAAGAGGCAACCCAAAAGTCAGTTTAGGGAAGCGCTAGATTCGCTAGATATATTTTTTTGAGAGAGAAGCACCCAGTTGCAAGCGAAAACAACATCAAGGATATGCGCTGGTTAAGCTGCTCGACACTGGCGAAGCTGGCAAATACATCGGGAAAGCCGCTAAAGATCCGCTACGGCCAACAAACAACTGCCCCCAGAAATCACAAACAAAACAAACACGGAAAACATGCAACCACGCACTTGCAAGCACTTTAGGATGAAACGCCCACGTATCCAAGCAACTCCACAACAAATGTAAACCACAAAAGAAAGCAGTAACAGTAACCCTAGCTTCTCGCATTCCCCATGGACCGGAAAATGTTCACATCGACCTGTACGTGGACAACACCAAGCGGTTGGCTTGCGGTTCGTTTGGTGCCATCACATAATATTCACTACTTAAATTCCCGTTGAACAGGCGTCCCTCATGTGCTCCCTTACGTCGCTCCAACATGGAATTTAATCAAAACTAGCCCATGCGGCGATGCTTCAGCCAGAAGAGTTGACTGCAATACGCATGTTCATTTTTCTGTGCGACTCGAAATGCCAACCACCCAAAGAAATGGATTCTTGTATGGCATGCCTATGATTTTCAACCCAAATGGTGAATTGACCAAAGCCGCTTTGTCATCTTCGAATCCCCGATCATCACAGTCCGCGGGATGTGCGGAACCTTTGCAGAGAGGTCGCCTAGTGTCTCCTTGGACCATCGTCCCTTTGATGGACAAATGGGTTTCCCAGGTAAAATAGATGGCATAACGCCAAAAACAAGAACCCATCTGCTTCCCCAAAAAATGGGACACCTTGCCTTGGGCGCCTGCTCAGTTGTTTAGGCCCTTCCTTAGAGTTCCACATCCCGAAAGCAGTTTCAAGCAACCCGGAAAGCGTCCCATGTCCCATCTACACGGCCGGGTTTCGTGTTGGCTTCCGAATCATTTTCGTGTTGGCTTCCGAATCATTCACTCGGGTGCCCTCAACGAAGAGACACGGTATCTCATATCCCCCCAAACAAGATCTTAAGAGAGACAAGCCAAACATGGATGCCAACAAAAGTCCTGCGATTTGAACAGAAGCCCAACAACTTGGCTGACATTGGAAGAAGAGCAAATATCTAAATTTCAGCAGTTAAGTGGATTTGGATTTCAACCACCAAACCTAAACCGCAATCAGCAAAAATGATTCAAATGTGTCCCAACAACCATGAAGACAACCTGCATCTTTCAAGCTACTGTTTTTGCTTTTTTTCAGGGCACGAGATCGAACGAGGTCTGCAGAAGGCAAACTTCTTCTTTTTTGTTCGGCAAACCAACATGGTAACTCGCCACTCGCTCGCCGGCAGCTAGCCCAGGCTGCCCCAAAGTACAAGGGCAAAGGGCAAAGCAAGGGCGGGCAGCCTCCGAGGAACTTCTGGATCCGGCCTTTCGGTTCTCACGTTATCACGGTCGCTGAAACCATCCGATGAGCATCCCTTCAGTTTGTCATCCGAACTTGCAACAAATGTCTCAAACTGGGTAACCCCGTTTTGTATGAAGAACACTGCGAGGAGTCAACCGCACGCCTGGGGTCCAACTTGGCCACTGGCACATCCGCTCTCCATAGAGAAACAAACCCAACAAAAAAGGTGAGAAAGGACTCCGGAAGAAGTTGTTGCCCTGCATCGCCCAAACAAAGCTTAACCTCACCACCACCAAAAAGCAGCAGGCCCTTTTTTTTCGGTTGCCTCCCACCTCCGGGTACCCAACGCCCGGAACGCGCATCGACCTTTTCGGAACCAGGCCCGCGGCAAACTCGATATCTGAGTCGATCTCTTCTACCTGGTGAGCGTGTAGTGTAGCGAACTATGGTAAAACTGTGCGGGCTCTGTTCGGCCAAGCTTGCTG